CCTGTCTTGAAAAAGAAAAAACAAAACCAAACAAAACAAAAAAGATGTGCAAGAAGGGTGGGCGTGGTGACCCACAGCTTTAATCCCAGCACTCGGGAGGCTGAGACATGTGGATCTGTGAGTTTAGGACTAGTCTGGTCTACAAATCGAGTTCCAGGACAGCCAGTGTTGTTAACACAGGAAATTCGTCTGGGCGTGGGGAGGGGAGTAAGTTTCAGAAGACAAGAGGCCATCCATGGGTTTCTTGAGAAGTGGGTACCCTCCTAAGGGTAGTATCCTGGAAATACTGAGTTTCTATAACATAAAGGTATATCTATTGTGTTGTTTTTTCTTCTCCTTCCATTTTTCTTTTTTAAAATTATGGATCAGCTGTGGGTGGTGCATGCCTTTAATCCCAACACATGGAATACAGAGCAGGCAGATCTCCAGCTTGCTCTACACAGTGAGTTCCATGCCAGCCAAGGCTACATAGTGAGACCCTGTTTCAACAAATATTTTTCTTTAAGTGTTTATATGTTTATGTGTAAATGTATGTTCATGCAAGTGCCTACAGAAAACACAAGAGGGTATCAGGTGCCCTGGAACTGGAGTTAAATTGGTTTTAAGTCACCTGATACAGGTGGTAGAAATTGAATTCAGTTCCTCTGTTAACTGCTGTATCATCTCTAGTCCCATGTTGTTGTGTATTTGTAGAGAAAAGTATTTACAATATATGCATTATTATAAAGAATTGTCATTGAACTGTTTTGTTTGGAAGCATGATTTGCATATTATACTTAGAGCACTCCATATAAATGTTAACAATGTCAGCAAATTAATAGCTGTAAGACCGTCTGCTTTTCTTTGGTTTTACTGTTGGCACTGGATATGTAGTTTTTATTCCTCCCAAGATGTGTACCAACAATTTGAGAAAAGTAGTACACTTCTGCCTCGGCGTTAGTGGCACACACCTTTAATCCCAGCACTCGGGAGGCAGAGGCAGGCAGGTCTCTGTGAGTTCAAGGCCAGCTTGGCATTCAGAATGAGTTCAGGACAGGCTCAGAAGCAATATAGAGAAACCCTGTCTCAAAAAAACCAAAAGAAAAAAAAAAGTTAGTATACTTCTTAGTGTATTCAACTAGATTGTTCAATTGGTGGTTGTGAGTTACAGATGTAACAGGAAGAAAGAATCTTTTTAATTTTATTCATGTGTATATGTGTCTGCCAGTGTCGATAGGGGGTCAGAAGACAACATTTAATCTCTGGAAGAGCAACAAGTGCTGTTAATGACTTAGGCATCTCTCCAGCCCCAGAAGACTTAATTCTTCCTCTTACACCTTAAATTATAAATGTAAAATATAATATATATGCGCAACTGTCATTTCTGGACTATTTAAAGAGGAGTGGGACACAGTTTTGTCTGCTAGGAGTTTTAAGCTCTGATGGAAGAAAGTAGATGATTACCCACAAACATGAAATCTGTAGCATAAGGTAGAACATCTCAGCAGTAAAAAAGAGACTAGTGTTGTTGCTTGGTGGCTCAGGGAAATAAGTCACTTTTCTAGACATTTGAGATCAACTGAGAGCCATTTTTGACAAGAGGCTGCACTTGGTTCGTGTGACTTTCACCCTTGGCGTTTTTTGTTCTTAAGATGGGGCTGCCTAAAAGAGGATGCTGCGGAGGTAGTGTTGACAGTCAACTGAAGTGTCCATAGGTCATTGTGCTTTTTGTTCTTGTTGGCTTGTTTTTAAACTTCCATTCATTTACTCATTCATTGTGTGTGTACATATGGAGGTCAAAAGATGATTTGTGGGAGCTGGTTCCTTCCATTACATATGTTGTGGGGATTGAACTCAGGTTTTGAATGAAGGTGTTTTACTCTTCAGCCATTGTTGGTGCTTTCGTTTTGAAAGTCTTGGCAATTGCTTTTGCTGGCCTTTCAGATGACCTCGAACTTCTGGTTCTCTGGATTCCCTCTCCTGAGTGCTGAAGTAGCATAATAGACCTAAAACTTCCTGCCATTCTTTTGTAGTATTGGGGACTAAACCTGGGGCTTTGTGCATGGTAGGCAAACAAGCACTCTCCCAACTGAGTTCTATCCCCATACCTTATTTTTGTTTTTTGAGGCTAGGTGGAATGATGTAGTTCAACCTGGCCTTAAACTCATGATCCTTCTGATTTGGCTTCCTGAGTACTATAATTGCAAGATTGTGGCTCTGCTTGGGCCCAGGTCATTTTTGTCTTAGTTACTTGATTTTAAAAATGTGCAAAATTGATTTCTGAATTTTAGTAATAACTTAGTTATTTAAGGTACTACTCAATTCCTTCCAATTTATTTTAAACTTACTCATTTTTATTTTATGTGGGCATGAGTGTTTTCCCTACGTGCACCACATGCGTGCCTCTTGCCACATAGGCTGGAAGAGGTTGTCAAATCTCCTGGAATTGGAGAGTTACAGATGTTTGTGAGCTGTTATGTGGGTGCTGAGAATTGGACCCTGGTCCTCTGCAAGTGCTTTTAACCACTGAGCCATCTCACCAGCCCCACTCATAGTTATTTTGATAAAATTATTCAGTATTACATGGTACTATTGGCAGTTTCTCAAGTATTTTTCCAAGCACTACACATGTATGTATTCTTTCTCGCAGGTAAGTGCTATTTTATTCCTGTTTAATAGAAAGAAAAAAATGAATTTAACCGGTTTATCTAGAGTTGACATATTTGATGTCAAGGTGCAATATGAAATTAAGTAATATGGCTCTAGAGACCATGTTTTTAGCCAAGCTGCAGAAGAATATGAGTAGTGTATGGCAAAATGAGCTTTGGTCTTTTTTCCTCTTTTCCTTTCCCTTGCTCTTTTCTTAATGTTGTGTGGGTATAGGTAGCATGTAGTTCCCTCTGGCCTCTGCTTGGAATTCTTTTGCCTCAGCTGGGATTACATGAGAATAGGTGAACAAGAAGTACACCACTAAGTCCAGCAAATTTTTGGTGTTTCTTTTGTGTATTTGTTTGTTTGTTTGTGTGTTTTCAAGACAGGGTTTCTCTGTGTAACAGTCCTAGAACTCACTCTGTAGGCCAGGCTGGCCTTGAACTCCTATCTGCCTGTCTCTGTCTCTGCCTCCTGAGTGCTGGGATGAAAGGTGTACGCTTTTTGATGTTTCTAATGGGAGATAAATAAAAGAACATGCCCCTGTCTCTTTAGGTCTTGCTAGATAAATAAATAAATAACTCTGTACTAACTCTACCTAGTAGTGGAAATAAAACATGTTAATAGGGCCAAGTGGCCAGCTAAAGTTACATAGTGAGACCCTGTCTCAAAAAGCAGAGAAAAACATGTAAGTATCTACTTCGTTGCTCCCTCCCCTTGTTTGGTAGTTTTTTTGTGATGGTAAGAGAGCAGTTCGACTTATTTATTTTGAGGCAGGATCTCACTCAGTAGACCTGACTGGCCTGTAATTTCTTAGGTAGACTGCATTGGTCTGGCTTCCAAGGGCTGAGACTAAAGAAGGGTATGTGACACCGGGCATGGGAGTGATTTTGCATACCACGTTACTGTCTAATGCTTGTTGTAGAAAGAATGTGATTGGCCTGGTGCTAGATGGAAAATGTCATTTCAGCCTGCTCTATCTAGTACTTAAAGACTGTGTTTGAGTTTTGTTTTAGTGTAATAGTTTGGTTTAAGAAATGTAGAAGAGGGCTGGAGAGATGACTCAGAGGTTAAAGAGCACTGGCTGAGCACAGGACTGAAGGTCCTGAGTTCAATTCCCAGAAACCACATGGTACCTCACAATCATCTAATGAAATCTGGTGCCCTCTTCTGGCATTCAGGCAGAACACTATATACATAAAACAAATAAACCTTAAGAAAAAAAAGAAATGCCGAAGAAAGTCAGGCATGTTACACTGGCTCATACTTGTAATCCCAGCACTCAGGAAGCTGGAGAAGGAGGATTACTTTAAATTCAAAACCATCCTAGGCTACATAGAATTGTAGGATAGGGCTGGCAGGTGAGAGGCACTTACTTAATGTGTAAGCTTATGAGTTTCATCCCTAGAGCCCATGTAAAGGTAGAGAGAACAAACTATACTTGTCTTCTGACTCTATACACTTGTCATGGCATGTGTGCCCACACATTATCCTGTACATATTCTACTACTAATAATGAGAAATCTAAATATTAAAAACAAAAATAACTCACAGAGACCAGGCATAGCATTCTCAAGGCAGATGCAGGTGAATCTCGTATGGGTTTAAGGCCAACCAAGGGTTCATAGTGAGATCTCTCTCTCTCCCTCTCTCTCTCTCTCTCCCTCTCTCTCTCTCTCCCTCTCTCTCCCTCCCCTCTCTCTCTCTCTCTCTCTCTCTCTCTCTCTGCTTCCTGCAACAGGGTTTCTCTGTGTAGCTTTGTAGACCAGGTTGGCCTCCAATTTACAGAGATCCACCTGCCTCTGCTTCCCCGATAGCTGGGATTAAAGACATACACCATCATTGCCTGGCTTTTTGTTTTGTTTGAGACAGGGTTTCTCTGTATAACAGCACTAGCTGTCCTGGAACTAGCATCAGACTCACAGAGATCCACCTGCTTCTGCCTCCCAAGTGTTGGGATTAAAGGCGTGTGCCACCACTGCCTGGCATGAAATCCTATCTTTTAAACAAACAAACAAAGAAAACCCTACGGTATATTTTGGGGGTAGGGGAAGATGGTATAATAAAACTTTTCTTTGGAGCATACATACATTCCATTTTCACTGTCAGAGTAATTGTGTCTGTGCATTTCAAGATACATAAACAGTAGGGTTGGTAAGATGGCTCAACAGATAAAGCCATCTATTGCCAAGCCTGATGACCTGAGTTTGATCTTTGAGACCCACATGGTGGAGAGAACCAATTCAAGTGGGTTATCCTTTGACCTCCAGGCATGCCTTGGCATGTGCATGGTCCCCTCCCAATAAATGAATGTAAAACATAAAGCAGTATGTTAACAATAGCAAAATGTTGACTGTCCGTTTTAATTTTAGGAACCCTAAGGACTCTGCAATATGAATAATTCTCTGGAGAACACCATCTCATTTGAAGAGTACATCCGAGTGAAGGCAAGGTCTGTCCCTCAACACAGGATGAAGGAATTTCTGGACTCACTGGCTTCTAAGGGACCAGAAGCTCTTCAGGAGTTCCAGCAGACTGCCACCACCACAATGGTGTACCAACAGGGTGGGAACTGCATTTACACAGACAGTACTGAAGTGGCTGGGTCTTTGCTTGAACTTGCTTGTCCAGTCACAACCAGTGTTCAACCACAAACTCAGCAAGAGCAGCAGATCCAGGTTCAGCAGCCACAACAGGTTCAGGTAAGAGAAAATATTTAGTTGAAGCCTGTTAATAAAATAGTTACAATATACCTACCTATACAGATGTTAGAAATGATGAAAGTTATTTTACCAAGTAGGAAATCAATATCCTCCCCACCCCCCATTTTTTTGTAGCTTTGAAGCCTGTAGACCTCGAACTCAGAGATCTGCCTGCCTCTGCCTCCTGAGTGCTGGAATTAAAGGTGCCATTGTGCCACATGGGGAAATTACTCATATTTAATGTGGATTGATGATATCTTTAGCCACTGTAAACTATAAAACCTTGCTTTTTGCTTTAGAGAGCTCAAAGTACGGAAGGTAGAGGCTAGCACTGAATTTGGATGTGACAGCTTTATGTGATTGAGTCTTTCCTTCTTTCTGTGACAATCAGATCAGAAAGCACAGGAAAGCTAGGTTTGGCTCATTATGGAAACTGTGACATTTGGAACTTGCTTTAAAATTAAAATCTGATGTATGGTGATCTTAATTTAGTTAATATATCTCAAATCTCTGATCACCTATAGATTTCTATGTTGGCATTTTCTACCTGTTAACCTCAGATAATGCTAACTAACATTAAGGTTATTCAAAATGGAGGAATGAATACAGTGGCTGATAGGCATAGGTTTTTCTTTTTTAGGGATCTCTAGATGAAACAGTCTCCTCTGAATAGTGTTCTGGGCATTGTATTGTGGTTGAGTTTCATTTTACTTTGGATACATGTATGACTGTGTGAAGGTGTCAGATCTCCTGGAACTGGAGTTACAAACAGTTGTGAGCCCCCATGTGGTGCTGGGAATTGAACTTTGGTCTTCTGGAAGAATAGTCAGTGCTCTTAACTATTGAACCATCTCCAGCATTCACCCCCCCCCTTTTTTTTTTTTTTTTAACTTTAATTTTAGAGAAACTAAGTTTCCTGAGGAGGCCAAGCTGGATGAATTTGCTTACTTCAGGTTCCTGAGTAGCTAGGATTACAGATCTGTGACAAAATAACAGCTTTAGGGACTGGTGACCTACTACTTCCAAATGTGTGCCATGGCATTTATGCACCTCCTCTTCCCCACATCATATACTCAGGATAATAATTTTATTTATTTGTTTTTATTTTTGAGACAGGGTTTCTCTGTGTAACAATCTGACTGTCCTGGAACTCAGTTTGTAGACCAGGCTGGCTTTGAACTCAGAGATCTGCCTACCTCTACCTCCTTAGTGGTGGGATTAAAGGTGCATACCACCACACATGGTGATAATAAATTTTTTTTAATTTAAATAACATTTTTTTTATCTTACATACCAACAGTTTCCCCTCCGTCTTCTCCACCCATTCGTTCCCCCATAATAAATTTTTTTAAAAATTAAAATTGTATGTAAATACTTGAAGACATAGTTTTATTTAGTTTTACTAATGAGTGACATCAAACACAAACATTGGCTGGTAGTATAACAGTTATTGTGTACATGCCAATTTTCTATTCTTTGGTGGTGATCATGTTTATTTATTTATTTTGATTCTTTTTTTAACCAATTATTTTGGGGGGGCAGGGTTTCTCTATGTAGCTTTGGAGTCTGTCTGTAGACCAGGCTGGCTGCGAACTCACAAAGATCTGCCTGCCTCTGACCGGCAGATTTTTTTTTTTTTTTTTTTTTTTTCCTCACTTGTACATAAAATTTTAATTTATATGATTTGATACTTTTTTGTTTCATGTGTGTAGGTGTTTTACCTGCATATATGTCTGTGTACCATGTGTATATGGTGCTCTTGGAGTACAGAAGAGGGCATCAGATCTCCTGGAACTGGTTACAAATGGTTGTAAGCCACCATGTGGGTACTAGGAATAGAACTCAGATCCTGAAAGATCAGTCAGTACTTTTAAACTACTGAGTCAACACTCCAACCTTAATAAATTTTAAGTACATTCTTAAATATATCCTTATACCACTCTGTCTGCTCTTACACAAAAAACCAAAGGGGCACATTTTCAAAGAAAAAAAACGTGAACGTGAACAAAGTTTTAATATTTGGTTCTTGGGGGCACTGTGACTGCAGATGCCATGACTGATAGAGTTCCCTTGCTCACATTATACAGGGCCCTGCCTAAAAATTTTCTTTGAGATCTAGATGTTGCTTGCTTTACTCACTGGTGAATCTTGTTCCTGCAGGTACAGGTGCAGGTACAGCAGTCTCCACAGCAGGTCTCGGCTCAGCAACTTTCTCCTCAATTCACTGTTCACCAGCCTGCTGAGCAACCCATCCAGGTCCAGGTGCAGATCCAGGGCCAACCACCGCAGTCAGCAGCCCCCTCCATCCAGACCCCATCTCTGCAGAGTCCCAGCCCTTCACAGCTGCAAGCAGCCCAGATCCAAGTGCAGCATGTGCAGGCAGCCCAGCAGATCCAGGCTGCAGAAATCCCAGAGGATCATATCCCACATCAACAAATCCAGGCTCAGCTGGTGGCTGGCCAGTCTCTTGCTGGAGGCCAGCAGATTCAAATCCAGACCGTGGGTGCCCTTTCCCCACCACCATCCCAGCAGGGTTCACCCCGGGAAGGGGAACGGCGGGTTGGCACAGCCAGTGTGCTTCAGCCAGTGAAGAAACGCAAAGTGGACATGCCCATCACCGTGTCCTACGCCATCTCAGGGCAGCCAGTGGCCACCGTGCTGGCCATTCCACAGGGCCAGCAACAGAGTTATGTGTCTTTGAGGCCAGATTTACTGACAGTGGACAGTGCCCACCTGTACAGTGCCACTGGGACCATAACTAGCCCTACAGGAGAAACTTGGACCATCCCTGTTTATTCTGCCCAGCCACGGGGGGACCCTCAGCAGCAGAGCATCACCCACATTGCCATTCCCCAAGAAGCCTACAATGCAGTTCATGTCAGCGGCTCACCCACAGCTCTGACAGCTGTAAAACTGGAGGATGACAAGGAGAAGATGGTGGGCACCACATCTGTAGTAAAAAACTCCCATGAAGAGGTAGTGCAGACCCTTGCAAACTCTCTCTTTCCAGCACAGTTCATGAATGGCAACATCCATATTCCAGTGGCTGTGCAGGCCGTTGCAGGCACATACCAGAATACGGCTCAGACTGTACATATATGGGACCCACAGCAGCAGCCACAACAGCAAACTGCACAAGAGCAGACGCCGCCACCACCCCAGCAGCAACAGCAGCTCCAGGTTACTTGTTCAGTAAGTGACTTAATCTGCAGATCATTTTGCTTTCTTGGTTTCTAGTGTATCATAGAACTCACCTGTAGTGTGTGGATTATTTAATTCCCTCATTGTCGTAACAGTGATAGTATTTGGGGGGAGGAAGAGAAGCAGTAGGTGAGGCTGTATAAACAGACAAGTTTATCATTCTTGGAATTCAAAAAGATGATCAGTAATTCTTTCGTAGTTTTTAAAGAGTATTTGGTGGGATGCCTATAATATTTCCTTGTAATATCTTTTTATGATGAATAAAGTTAATGCTGTGATGAATGGAAGACCCCAAAGTGTTATATATAGAGTCTTTGGGCTGCTTATATAAACAGCTGTAGTTGAACTGTTAATGTGACACACAGGTAGTAAATTCATGGTGGAGAGCTTGTGAGATAGATTTTTATTTATCTTTGAATATAGTATAAAAAGTTTAAAATACCTCTTAGTAGATCTATTGAAAGGTTCTAGATGTGGAGGTACACACTTGTAATGATGGCACTTGGGAGGCAGAGGCCAGTGGATCTCTGAGTTCAAGGGCAGCTTGTTCCATATAGCAAGTTTCAGGCCATCCAGGACTATGAAATGATACCTTGTCTTAGAAAGCAGAGGAAAGAAATGGCAAAAATAAGAAAATTAGCAAACTGTTCTGTTGTACGTATTTGTTGAAACCAGAAACTGAGGCTGTAAGGACTCAGGCATTATGCTGGCCTGCTCCTGTCACCTGGCAGAATGCATTCAGGTAGTACCTTGGTCAACCCAGGGTTCCATAACTACTAGTCTGCACACAGGTGCTAAGAACCCCTTTAAAAGAAAGACTCCAAGCCAGGCGTTGGTATCGGCAAGCCTTTAATTCCAGCACTCAAGAGGCAGGTGGATCTCTGTGAGTTCAAGGCTAGCCTGGTCTACAGAGCTTGTTCCAGGACAGGCTCCAAAACAACACAGAGAAACCCTGTCTTTTTTTTTTTTTTTTTTTTTTAAAAAGAGAGAGACCCCTGCCCACTTTTCTCTTTCCCTCTTTCTTACTGTTCCCCTGGGGCAGACAGGACTTTTCCTAGCTCCCTCTTGTCTCTTTACCCCCTCCCTCACCCCTTCCCCTTCTAATAAAACTTCTCACTAAGCTGTGTCTGCCTGGCAGAAACCTTCTTCCTTTGATCTCGTTTTCACCTCCACCTGTTCTACACCTCTGTTTTATTCTCAGTACTTTCAAGACATCATCTGTAGAAACTAGGTCTACTTTTTCTAGTTTTTGTTTGGTTTTTGAAAGTTTCTCTGTATAACCATCCTGGCTGGCCTTGAACTCACTAAGATCCCCCTGCCTCTGCTTGAATGTGCAACCCACCATCACCATCTTGCTTACCTAGTTTCCTTTTGGGTAGGACTGTTATTGATTGAGCAGACTGATTTGATGTGTTTAACTGGTTCTCTTGCCTCAGCCCTCCAGTAGTTGAAACCAGATGTATATACCATTACATCTGTCTGATTCAGTTGTAGGTTTTTGTTGTCCTAAATTTAGGTCTGAATTTTTATTTTTTGTTTTGTGTTTTTGAGGCACAGTTTCTTTAGGTAGCCCTGACTGTCCTGGAATTTGCTATGAGACCAGGCTGGCCTCAAGATCTGCCTCCCGAGTGCTGGAATTAAAGGCATAGTCCACTTTGGCACAACTGATTGACTTATTTTATGTGTATGGATATAGGTGTTTTGCCAGTGTATATGTCCCTACATCTTGTGGGTGTGTTACCCGTGGAGACTAGAAGAGGGTATGTATGATCCTCTGAACCTGGAATTACAGATGTTTGTTTGTTGTTTTTTATGGTTTTTCAAGTCCTGGCTGACCCTGGAGCATGCTTTGTAAATCAGGCTGGCCTGGAACTCACTGAGATTCACCTGTCTCTTCCTCCCAAGTATCTTTTATTTTTTTTAAAGACTTATTTATTATGTATGCTATGTTCTACCTGTATACATACCTGCACACCAGAAAAGCGTAGCAGATCTCATTACTTTCATAGATAGTTGTGAGCCACCATGTAGTTGCTGGGAATTGAACTCAGGACCTCTGAAAGAACAGCCAGTGTTCTTAATCTCTGAGCCATCTCTCCAGCCCCCTTCTTTTCCTTTCCTCCTTTCTTTCTTTTTTTTTTTTTTTTTTTTTTTTTTTTTTAAAGATAGGGTTTGTCTGTGTAGGCTGTCCTGGAACTCACTGAGATCCAACTGCCTCTGCCTTCCTAGTGTTGTGATTAAAGGTGTGTATCACTGTCTGACTTCACAGTTCTTAATTTGGGATAAAAAGAACATTTTTGAGTTATTCTTCCATTACAGGAATTTTGTTTTTGTTTGTCTGTTGTTTGGTTTTTCAAGACAGGGTTTCTCTGTAGCTTTGGAGGCTATCTTGGAACTGTCTCTGCATCCTGAGTGCTGGGGACTGTGCCACCACTGCCTAGCCTATTACAGGAATGTTTAAAAACACAAAAGGGATGTTGGGTGTGGTGGAGCAGAGGCAGAAGTCTAAGTTTAAGGTCAGTGTTGAAGATTGGGCTAGATACATACCTCAGCAGTTAAGAGCCTGTTCTGTTGTACGTATTTGTTGAAACCAGAAACTGAGGCTGTAAGGATTCAGGCATTATGCTGGCCTGCCCCCATCACCTGGCAGAATGCACTCAGGCGGTACCTTCCAGAGGACCCAGGTTCAATTCCTAGCACCCTCATTGTGTGACTCACAACTGGCTGTAACTCCATATCTAGGGAAACTGACCCCCTCTTAATGACATCCAAGGGCACTTTCATTCATAAGCACATATAAATACACAGACATATACACATACTTATTTTTTAATAAAGAAAAAGATCTGGAGAAATGGCTCAGCAGTTAAGAGCCCTGGCTGCCCTTCCAAAGGACCTGGGTTTGGTTCTTAGTGCCTACATGGTAGCTCACAACTGTCTAATTTGCATTCCATGGTGTCCATTGCCCTCTTCTGCCCCCTATCCCCAACTTTTATTTTTGTTTTTGTTTATTTAAGACAGAGTCTCTCTATAGTTTTGGCTGTCCTGGAACTTGGTATGTAGACCAGACTGGCTTGACTCAGGTCCTCCTGCCACTGCCTTCTGAGTGCTGGTATTAGATGTCTGGTCTCTTAAAGGTACCAGGCACACACATAGTGCGTGAGCAGACATGCATGCAAGCAAAGCACCTGTATGTATAAAATAAAACTTAAAAAGAAAGGCGTTGGGAGATTGCCCAGCACTCACATAGAAATACCAGGCATGGCAAAGGATGTGTATAACTTCAAAACTGGGGTCAGAGACAAGTGAATTCTAGGAATTCATTGGCTGACCAGCCTAGCAGAAAGTGATGAACTTGAGGTTCAGTGAGAGAACCTGTCTCGAGGGAGTAGTAAGAGTGATGATAAGAGTAGAACCCTCTGTCTTTCCCTGTCCTCCTAAGCTATGTACATAGGTGTGTGTTCCTTTGTGAGCACACACAAAAATGTTTTGAGCCAGGAGTGGTGGTGCGTGTCTTTAATTCCAGCATTGGGGAAACAGAGACAGGCAGGTCTCTTGTGAGTTTGTGGGTAGCCTGTTTTACAGAGCAAGTTTCAGGACAGTCAGGGCGGTTACACATAGAAACTGTCTCAAAAAAAACACATAGTTATCTTGTCAAAGCTAATAGAATTTGTATGTGTGTGTATGTGAGCAAATTTTCAAACATGTAGAAACAATTTTGCCTTCATTTGAAATTATCTGATATTGGGGCTGGAGAGAGTTTCAGCAATTAAAATCACTAGCTGCTCTTCCAGGGGACCTGGAATTCAATTCCTGGCATTCTCACACAGAAATGCATGCAGGCAAAACACCAGTACACATAGAATAAAAAGAAATCATTAAGAAAAAGAAATTACTTGATATATCCTTCAGATTTTAGAGGTGTTGAGGGGTAAGGGTCTGATAGGGTTGCTTAAGGAGCATTGTTCAGACTTGGATATGTTGTAACATCTAAGAACCTATATTAGGGATCTGTTTTGAGGTTGTTTAAAATTTTGGGAATTCAACAAACACTCAAGATGCTGTCTTCTCTTACATAGCTTACCTTCAAGATCATTGATGAGGAACCCATTCTTTCAGAATAGTTAGTTCCTTCTATTTCTAGTGGGAGGTGAATGCCTTTTATTCCAGCCCTGCTGTGGTGGGCAGAGGCAGGTGGATCTGAGTTTGAGATCACCATTGCTTTACTATTCTTTGTCTGTAAATAATTGGTGCATACTAAAATCATCAGGGGAACATTGCTTCCTCATCCCCCGAATGCTGGGATTATGTGCATGGGTCATGCCCACCCCACCAGGGAAACTTCTTTTTTTGATGGGTTTTTTCTGGAACCTGCTATGTAGTTATTGAAAGTCTGTCTATTCTTGCAGGTTTCACTTTTGCATTTCTACTCAGGATTATACTTTCTTTGGTTTTGTTTTGTTTTTTGAGACAAGGTTTCTCTGTGTAGTTTTAGAGCCTGTCCTGGAACTTGCTCTGTAGACCAGGCTGGCCTTGAACTCAAAGAGGTCCTTCTAACTCTGCCTCCCAAGTGCTGGGATTAAAGGCATGTGCCAACACTGTCTGGCAGGACTATACTTCTGCATACCCAGGACTCCAGCCTCCAGTGCTGATTTCAGTCCTTCATCATAGAAGACCACTCAAATTATAGCCTGGGAATAGGGCACAGACATGAGTGTTTTTCTACCAGTTTAGGTGATTTTTGAGGTAGAAAAAAGGTTTTTTGTTTGTTTTGTTATTGGTTGGTACAGGGTCTTATGTAACCTACTTGGCCTTAAAGTCACAATGTAGCTAAGTGTGTCCTTGACCTCTTTATCTCCTCCCTTTTCCTATTTTCCAACTGATGGAATTACTTATTTTTTACCACCAGGTTTGCAACTAAATTTTAAGAACCCCTACTCTGCACATTTGAAATTGGATATGTAATCTACAGTTTACCAACCTTGTTTCTACTTGGGAGCTTGTTAGATGTGTAGCTTGTTAGATGTGTAGCCTTCCTCAGATCCCAATCCAGAGTTTTCAGTAACTTTATAAGCATTTTTTTAATAAAATGCCTAATTGTTTTATTTGCACAGTGAATTTTGAAGCGGTGTTTGAAATAAATCTTTTTACTTGGAAGTTTTAAAAAGACTAAAATGTGGACCCTACCTTTGGAGAGATTCTAGGGCATTGTAGGTTCTTTTGTGTGTGTGTTTTGTTTTTCTTGCCTTTTGTTGGGGGGGGGTGAAACAGGGATTCTCTGCATATGTTTGTCTAGGTTAGCCTTGAAATCAGAGATCTTCCTGCCTCTGTCTTGGGTGTACACCCAGGTTTTGTGGGTTTTTTTGTTTGTTTGTTTGTTTTTTTTTTTTTTTTTTTTTTTTTTTTTGGTTTGGGTTTTGGAGACCATTTCCTACTTAAAGCCATGGCTGGCCTTGCATTTGCCATAAAGGCAGGGTTGGTCCAAACTTGAGGTGACCCTACAACCCTGCCTCAGTCTCCAAAGTATTGGCATTACAATCCAGTATTGGTTTATACTAGTTTTTTTTTTTTAGAATTAAAAGCTAGCAAAATGCCTTAGTGGATAATAGTGCTTGCTCCAAGCCTGTCATCCTGAATTCAGTCCCTCAGAACCACATGGTAGAAAGAGACAATTCCCACAAATTGTTTTCTGCCCTCCACAGGTACACCAATGGCACACATACACAAGAATACAATTTAAAAATCTAATAGAATATTAAATGAGAGCTGGTATAGTCAGAGCTGAGAAACATTGCATTGGCCCAGTTATATTGCTGCCTATGTTATCCTTCCAGTAAGAAGCTCTTCAGATTGTGAAAATAGAAGAGTTGGTTTTTCTTTTTCCCAATTGAATGAGTGGGGGAGTTTCATTTCTGACATTTATATTAAAGGAACTGATGAAAATCAATATTGACATATTCTGATGGTTTCTATCTCCTAGGCACAAACTGTTCAGGTTGCTGAAGTTGAGCCACAATCACAACCACAGCCTTCACCAGAACTTTTGCTTCCAAATTCTTTGAAGCCAGAAGAAGGGCTTGAAGTATGGAAAAACTGGGCTCAGACCAAGAATGCTGAACTAGAGAAGGATGCTCAGAACAGACTGGCCCCCATTGGGAGTGAGTGTTTGGGAGGGAGGGCAGGCTTGCATGTGTCTACATTTTAGGTAAAAGAAAAACAAAATGGCAGGCAGGTAGGCTCTGAGGACTAGAGAATATACTTCAAAGTATACTTTGTGTCACAATAAACAGGATGTAGTCTTCACCCTGTGAAATGAGCAGGATTTGTGGGATTTGCCCAAGAACAAATTTTTAGAACTGTGGGTTTCTAGAGTCAACAAAAACCAAGGAAGATTGATTTTTGAGAAGAACTGGGAAGAGCCAGTGAGTCGTGCTTAGAGCCTGTCTTGGCGTGGGCTCATTTACTTGATTGTATTACATGGTGTGGTTTCTGGGCTTTTTTGCTTTCATTGGCCCTTAGGGAAGGGAAACCTATTGGTGTAATAGCATAGTAGCATATGTTACTGCATTAATAGAGCAATTCTGATCACAGATGCAAATGGCCATTCCAAGGCCAAACTCTGGACAATATCCTCTGAGCCCTCCTTTTAACAGTGTCAGCAGCCAATTAAGACATCACTATTGTCAGGACTCCCATTCACCATTAGGACTTGTGTCACAGGGCGACAGTTGCTGCGATTCCAAGAAGATCTGATCTCCTCTGCTGTGGCCGAATTGAATTATGGCCTCTGTTTAATGACACGGGAAGCTCGAAATGGAGAAGGTGAACCCTATGACCCAGATGTACTCTACTACATTTTCTTGTGTATACAAAAGGTAGGAAACAGATCTTCACAGGAGCATGTCTGAACTGTGTTCCTTTCATGTTACCCTAAGTTAGAAAAATGACAAAAAGTGGGAAAAGGCCTACATATTCTCTTTAGAAAAGAATATATGCAAATAGCTGTATAATTCTATCACCTAGAATACCGTGTGTTAAAACAATAAGGGCCAGTGAAGGAGCTGAGCCATGAAGTGCTTGCTGTCTAAACCTGGTGACCGAAATCTGATCCCCGGAACTGGAGGTGGAGGTGGAAAGTATTTAATGATTGTTTTTCCTTAAATTAAAAACATTTAATAAATTTTGTTAAAATATGTATGTGGTTTTCATAAAGTTACCCAGTCTGGTGCTCAAGTATAGCTTTTGTGTACAAAACATTGTTTTAGTACAAAACAATGGTTTGAAGGAATATGGCTAAAATTGTATATAAATCTCTTTGGATTTTAAAGATAACAGATGGCTTTTTGAGAGGAGCAGAGATAAGATTTCTTCATACTCAAGGCTCTAGAGTAGGATTTCACAGTATGATGGTAGAAGGCTTGTTTGTATGGTGGAGCTCATTCTATTGCCTGGCTCTGAGAACAGTTAGCCTTCCAATTTATTCCTTCCCTTCTGGTCCTAACCCAGAACTACCCAAGTTATCCTATTTGCTATCACTGTTCATAGAAGGCAGTTGTAGTGTAGTAATCTCCATTTACAAAAGAAAATAAGACTTGCATGTGTTGGGACTGGAGACATGATTCAGCAGCTAAGAGTACTTATGCTCTTGTAGAGGGCCTGTGTTCGGTTCCCAACACTTACATTGTGATTCACAGCCATTCCTAACTTCAGTTCTAGGAGATCCAGTGCTTTCTTCTGACCTCAGAGAGTACCAGCATACATATGGTATACATAAATATGTGTAGTTGAACACTCATACACATAAATCCAAACAAAATTAAAGCTGGACATGATTGTATCTACCTTTAATTCCCAGCAGGGTTGAGGGGAACAGAAGCTGACAGATCTCTGAGTTCAAGGCCAATTTATTCTATTTTGTGAGTTCTAGGCCAGTCAAGGTGACATAATGAGACCCTATTTCAAAAAACCAAGCCCCCCCAAAAAGATTTGCATTTGTTATCACAATACTTTTAGCAAGAAGGTGATACCCCATGTACTCTGTTACCGCTTTTGTTTTGTTTTTTAGACAGGGTTTCTTTGTCTATCCCTAGCTATCCCGGAACTCACTTTTTAGACCAGGCTAGCCTCAAACTCAGAGATCTGCCTGCCTCTGCCTCTCAAGTGCTGGGATTAAAGCTGTGTGTTACTATGCCCAGGTTCTATTCATGATTTTTTTTTCTTTATGATGATTTGTTTTATATGCATTGGTGTTTTGCTTGCATGTGTGTCTGTGTGAGGATGTCAGATCTTGAAGTTACAGGCAGTTGTTAGCTGCTATGAGGGTGCTGGGAATTGAGCCCAGGTTCCCTAGAAGAGCATGTGTCAGTTGAGCCATCTCTTCAGTCCCTGATTTTATTCATGATTTTTTTTTTTTACAAAGTCATTTTATTTCATGTGTATGTGTGAGTAACTCCATGTATGTATGGACACTATGTGTGAGCAGTAGTGGCTATGTAGATGGCTAGGAACTGAACCTGGGACCTCTATAAGAGCAGTAAGTTCTCTTAACTGTGGAAATGACAAAAGCTGGACAATTCTGATGTAATACATTTTTTGTTGTTATTGGACAAAATGGGTAGGGTAAGAAAATAGTGGTAGTGAAAAAAATGTTTTGTTTTTCCAAAGGTTTTTTTTATTCAAGGGACTACCAGTAACATTTATCAATTACTTTTCTTTTAGTACCTTTTTGAAAATGGAAGAGTAGATGACATATTTTCTGATCTTTACTATGTTCGTTTCACTGAGTGGTTACATGAAGTTCTGAAGGATGTACAGCCCAGAGTCACTCCACTTGGTAAGAGTTTCCCTTTGTCTTTGAATTTCCTTTTACACTTAAATTTCTTTCTTTCCTTTCCTTACCTCCCTCCTCCCCTCCCTCTACCTCCCATGTACATTGGTGTTTTGCCTGCATGTGTATCTGTGTGAGGGTATTGTGAGCTGTAACATGGGTTCTGGGAATTTGAACCCAGGTCCTCAGAAGAGCAGCCCATGCTTTTAACCACTGAGGCCTCTCTCTAATCCTCCACTTGGGCATTAAGAAGATGGGTAGTTAAGCTGATGTGAAACCAGCACTGGGAAGCAGAGTCAGGAGGCTCTCTGAGTTCCAGGCTAACCAAGGCTACAGAGAAAGATCTTGTCTCAAAAACAACTACAAGAAAACCCAACAGAAACATGGGTAGCATCTTTGATTAACTGCAGTTTTAATGTGAGGGAAAGGAACTATGATTTACAGGCAACAGTTTGAGCCTCTGATACTTTCTCTAATAAGAAAGGAACCCTGTTCACCAGGCACACACAACTGGTGGTGATATGATTACTAACAACTTTTCTTCGTGACCAAATTTAGTAAAATAAGAATCAGCCAGGAATAATAGAATGTTCTTGTCATCCCAGCTAGTAAGGAAGCTAAAACAGAAAGATTGCTTGAGTCAAAAAATTTAAGGGCAGTGTTGGCAAAATTGTCACACCATGTCTGAGAAAAAAACTAAGTGAATGAAATTAGCTGGAATCACCACTACCTATTATTAAAATGTATTTTTCAGGGACTGGAGAGATGGCTCAGTGGTTAAGAATACTTGTTCTTTCAAAGAACTGGGGTTTTATTTTTGGCACCCACATGGTATCTTACAACCATCTGTAACTCCCATTTCCAGGGAATCTAGTGCCTCCTCTTGTCCTTGGAACTGAAATTGTAAATGGTTGTCAAACATGTGGGTGCTGGACATTGATTCCAGGTCTACTGCTCTAAACTACCAAACCATCTCTTCCTTCTTCTATGGTTTATTTTGTGTGTGTTTGGGGAGGGGGGGAGGTTGTACATACGTGGGTTTTTTTTTTCCAGATAGGCATACTTTAATCGTAGCAATTGAGAGACAGAGGCAGGCTGATTTCTGTGAGCTCCAACAACAAACTATCTTCCCTGCTTGGAACATCAGATCCTGTTGACCTAGTCAGTCCTCCCTTCCTTCATGGCTATGAACTGCTTAATTGAAAGCAAGCCAGATGGTATCGGCACACAGCCGATATCAGAGTTCTCCGGAAGCAGAGGTAGGCAGATCTCTGTGAGTTCCTGGACTATACAGAGAAACTGTCTTGAAAAAAGAAAAAAAAAGGAAAGAAGCTGGCACAGTGATTCATTGTCTTATGAACATTCAGGATGCTAAGACAGAGTGTTGTTTTTTTTTTTTTTTTTTTTTTTTTTTTTAAGATTTATTTAATGTGCACTGGTGTTTTGCCTATATATGCTCTTATGTGAGAGCATTGGATCCTCTGTAACTAGAGTTAAACGGTTGTGAGCTACCATGTGGATACAGGAAATTAAACCTGGGTTCTCTGGAAGAGTAGAGAGTGCTTTTTAACCACTAAGCCGTCTCTCCAGTCCTGATAGGATGATCTTGAATTCAAAGCCAGTTTAAGCTATGTACCAAGACCCTGATTCAAAAGAGAAAAAAGAGCCATGGATCATTGTGCCTGTAGAATATAACTATGGATTTATCTAAAGCCAGTATCCAAAGCCATGGATAATATTTATGTCAAAAGAATACAAGTTTTAGTGGAATGTTTTAGTTAAATTTTTTTTTTTTTTTTTTATATATACACTTTTTCCCTGGGTAGTTTTAGAGGTCCAGTAAAACTGAGGAGGAATTACAGAGATCCACTTGCTTCTGCCTCCTGGGTATTGATATTAAAGGCGGGTGCAAACCGCCCAGCCTATAAACTAGATTTTATAGGGAGGATCTGATACCCACTGGACATCTTAAGCACAAGAGATTCACACAATACATAGACATATATGTGGGCAAAACATAAATATTAAATAAACAAAGCCAAGGAAGGCCTGAGTTCACATTGCCATAGCACCCGTTTGAAAAAGCTGGATGTGGTCTGTAATCCTATTGCTAGGAAACACACAGTGTAGCTGAATTAGTGGGCTCCAGATTCACAAAGAGACTCTGTTTCAAAATACAATGTAGAAAGCAATTAAGAAGACACTTGATTTCTGCTTCCAGTCTCTACACATGCATGTACCGGCAGGCATACACATTAGCAAGTGAAAATCAGAATAACCTTTGATTTGGTTATGACTGTTTAAGGTACAATACCAGAAGCACAATCTGCGAGAGAAAGTAACAGACTTAGTTATTAAATTTACAAGTTGGGGCTGGAGAGGTAGGTAGTTCAGTTGTTGAGAGTATTTGCTTTCTTGCAGTGGACCTGGGTTCACTTCCCAACACTCACATGGTGGCTAACAACTGTCTGTAACTTATGTTACAGACATATATTTTCTTAATTATGTATACAGTGTACTGTCTGCATGCATGCCTGCACACCAGAAGAGGACCCCAGATCTCATTATATAGGTAGTTGTGAGCCACCATGTGTTTACTGGGAATTGAGTTCATAATCTTTATCTCTTCAGCTTCCATTTGGCCTTTTAATATTATAATAGTGGTCTGTGGTAGCTCTCTTGACCTGTTTTATCTGGGGCGTTTCTGTCATTATAGAGTCTGTCAGTTCTATTTATACTGGGAGGTGGTATTTTAGTATAATCAATCAGATTCTGTGGGTTAATCTCCTGGGTTAAATGCCTTTATTTATTTATTTTGTGTTCTGTTTTGTTTTGTTTTTTCAGCACAGTGCTTTTCTTTGTAGCCTTGACAGTCCTGGAGCTGACTCTGTAGATCAGGCTGGCATGGAACTCACAGAGATCAGCCTGCCTCTGCCTATTGAGTGCTTCTGGGATTGTAGGCATGCACCACCACCACCACCCTTAATTGCATAGATGAAAATAAAGTTAGGAGGAAAAGAAAAACTAAATTGTTGAGACAGGTGGCAGAGTAATCTAAAGAAGAGTAGAATATGCCATGGTTTACCTGAGGAGAGGGCTATGTTGTGCCATTCATCCTGTATTGTAGGGAATAAAGACACGGCAAGAAGAAAGCACTTCCATTGTTGCTTTGCTGTAATATATACAGTAAATTGTCCAGAACGATGCCAGAGAGGCATGGTTGGACACTGCAATTCCTGCACTCCTGAAGTGGTAAAGTTGCAATTTCCAGGTCAGCCTGGGGTACATACTGAGTTGCAGGGTAGTCTAAGCATCAGGGAGAGACACTACCTTGATCAGTGAATCAAAGAAACTTATGAGCCAGAAATAGCTTCAAGAAATGGAAATGCTAGCTGGCAGTGATAGTGCATGCTTTTAGTCCCTGTACTAGGGAGGAAGAGCAGGCGGATCTCTGTGTGAGTTCGAGACTAGCCTTGTCTGTAAAGTGAGTTCCAGGACAGCTGGAGCTGTTACACAGAGAATCCCTGTCTCAAAAGAAAAGGAAGGAAGGGGACTGTATAGAGCAGAGTATTTTTCCTCCTTCTAGAAAGTGCCACCTTTACTTTCTGACTATCACTTCTTAAAAGTCTTGGAGACGTAGATTGTGTCAGCTCATCTGCTAGACCTGTTCCCAGTATACAAATACTTGCACATCTTTAAAGGACTTGAGTACCATAGTGCTCAAATCAAATGGCATGTTTCTAGTTACCCAAGTTCAAACTGTTAACCTTTTGAACCCTGTAGCTATATGTTTACTTGGGTATGAGAGTAATGCCTGGTCTTTTGGAGGAAATGTGTACTAATTCAAGTATCAGCCTTCCCTTTTTGTTTATGAAATTGCCTTGCTTTCCAAAGATGGTGGATATATATGTTATATGTCTCTATGCCCTAGACACTCTGAAAATAATATATAATGGCTGGACAGATGATTCTGGGGTTAAAAGCAGTTATTGCTCTTGCAGAGGACTTGGGTTTAATTCCCAACACCCACATGGTGGTTCACACCCATCCATAACTCCATTTCTTGGGGATCAGATATCTTCTGACCTTCACAGGTACTAGGCATTCACATAGTGCACATACATACAAGGAAAACACTCATGCATAAAACAAAATAAATCTTAAAAAAGGAAAATGTGATCTGTAAGTTTCCTTAGAGTATATAAGTAGGGTTTGGGTTATAGCTTCATGTAGTTTATTTTCCTTAAGCACACTCCTTTTACCCTAACCCTCTTTGATGGGGGTATGGAGATCAAATAGCAACAGTCATAGAAACCTGTGGCTCTTCATAGCAGCAGCAACAGAGGTTTCAAGCTTAATGAGAAACAAATAGCCATTTTCAGGTTTTGCAGCCCAAGGGTCTGTGCTTTAACTAGCTCTAGATTATTTAGCCACGCCCTAGGGATAATTCCCATTAGGATTGTGTTCCTGTGTAGTCCTTGTCACTTTTGGTCCTAGTGTTTGTGGACCTCTTGTCATCCAGTTGCTGCAGTGCTATTCTGTTCCACCTAGGCTATGTTCTGCCCAGTCACGTGACTGAAGAGATGCTGTGGGAATGCAAGCAGCTTGGGGCACATTCCCCTTCCACACTGCTGACCACCCTCATGTTCTTTAACACCAAGTAAGTATTCTAGAAGCTATGTACTTAGCTACTTCTGAAACCTACCCGGTTCGGAGAGTGGAAACACCAGGACTTCTGTATTCCTTTGCCACATTTCAGAAATTTCCAGCTAGTTTGGGTTCCTTTTTGGCTGCATTTTTGTATAGTGAATGTTAAGGTGCAAACAGCCTTGCTGGACCCCTTCAGTCCATTTTAACCTGGCCTTACCCAGATCTTGGAAGTGGGGATGGTTCATCTGAGTCTCTAGTGGGCTGAAGTAAGTCATTGTATCCTGGCATCCCTCTTTTTCTTGCCTTGCTTGTGCTTGTGGTCCAGGTACTTCCTGTTGAAGACAGTAGATCAGCACATGAAGCTGGCTTTCTCCAAGGTCCTTCGACAGACAAAGAAGAACCCCTCAAATCCTAAGGATAAAAGTACGAGTATCCGCTATCTGAAGGCCCTCGGGATCCATCAGACTGGCCAGAAAGGTAGTGAAAGGAACCCGGAACGACAGCAAGCAGTAATGCTTACCCTGCCTGTCTTTATCCTTGTGGGGATGGGTCTAAGTTGAGGTTGTTTGGACAGAAATTGTCTACTTCCTTCTCCTTGGCCAAAACCTGAACATTTCTCACAGAGTCAGGGATGACCTGGGGAACATAGCTGCTTGCCTTTTTGTCGTCCATGCCTTGTCCCTTTCCTCTTTTACCCAGTCTTTCCTTGTTGGGGAGGTTGAATGCTTAAAGTTACTACTGATCTAGGCTTACACTAGTCTAGTACCAGGTCTGTGCTATATGTGTATATTTCTAATTATTTGTGTATGCATACGTGTGTATATTTATGCCCACGTGCATGTCCATGCACAGCTGCCTCCTTGCAAGTGATCAAAGAACAACTTGAAGTCAGTTTTTCATTCTGTTGAGTCATGTTGATTGAACTCATGTTTGTTTTAATAGTTACAGATGACATGTATGCAGAACAGACAGAGAATCCAGAGAATCCATTGAGGTGTCCTATCAAGCTATACGATTTCTACCTCTTCAAATGGTGAGGAGGCTTTGTACACTAACCATACATGTGAATGTGTGTGTTTGTATGTTGAGAGGATGGACTTGAACTCCTGATTCACTCATCTACCTCCCGTGCACTACTAAATCTGACTTTGATATTTAGTCTTTGGAAATGATTTCCTTTCAGACCAGAACTACAAAAATGCCCTCCGTGAAAAGATGGAGATACAGAATAAGCATGCACACAGATACTGAAGTGGTGTGTGCCACCATACCTGACCAAAGAACTTGTTTGCTTTGAAAAAAATGTGTGATAATACACAACATATACAAGGGATCATGGAACTGTGACTGCCACTTTTTTGGAGACAGCGTCTCTCTGTAGCTTTGGCCACCTAGAATTCTGTAAACCAGGCTGGCCTTTCACTCACAAGATTGCCTTTGAACTCTGATAGTTCTGTTCATAGAGGAGGTATACAAATACAAAGCCTGTCTCCCCCCCCCCCCCCATCAGATAGTGAACATGGTCAGTGGTCATGGTCCTGTACCATTCTGCCTCTGATTTTGTTGCTGCTACCAGCATCAGCAGGTGTTAATGTTCATTTACCTTTTTTTTTTCTTGTCCCAGCAGTTTGGTGTATCCTCTTTATATCAGTGTCAAAAGGAGCTTTTGTGGTTGGGGGTGTTTCTATCATGTTAGATTAAAACCCTCACTGGTTTCTCACTACTCTACAAATAATCTTATATCATCAACAAAACCTCTAGTGCACATCCATTGCTGGTACATGTCTGCTTCTTTTGGCCTATACCCATACTTTGCATCCAAGGGCATTAAGCTTTCTCTTCTTGACTGGACACAGCTTCAGGGAAGCGTTGTCTTTGCCCCTGAGTAATTCCTCTGCACTCAACTTCTGTCAGATGTTGAGTATTTCTGTAATTTTGTTAGTCAGGAACTCTACAATTTTTCCTGCTCCCTTCTTTAACAGCTGTACCCAATATAGCTCTGGTGCACATAGAGGTTCATTACATTTGGAACACATGGATAAATAGTTGTGTGATGATGGGTGGAGTGTGCTAGGTACTGAAGAGGTGCAGCACTGGGCTGGAGGTGGGAGTGAGCCCAGATAATACCTGTATTGGGCAAGTAGAGAACACTGTTTAACTGCCTAGAGGTAGATCTAGGTCCTGAAGTCTGCTGCAAGTGGAACAGAGATAGATTTAAGTAGTCCAACCTGAGGTGTACTAGGCAAGTACAGCAAGTGACTTATCATAATGTGTTTATATAACGGACAAAAAGAAGCACCTTGTCACTGGCGTTTACAGTGGCCCCAGTTGAGTTCCTGGTGTGGTATGTGGAGTACATGGAACTCCATAGCTATGTTACACCTTCAGATCTCCTACCTCAAGAGCTTTTCATAGAATGTCTGTTTGGGAGGCTCAGGCTGGAAGAGTTAAAATTATGCTATTATCCATCGTTTACTGAAATATGCTTCAGCCCCCAGAGTGTGAAAGGCCGAAATGACACCTTTTACCTGACACCTGAGCCGGTGGTGGCTCCCAACAGCCCAATTTGGTACTCAGTCCAGCCTATCAGCAGAGAACAGATGGGACAGATGCTGACCCGGATCTTGGTTATACGGGAAATTCAAGAAGCCATTGCCGTGGCCAGCGCAACCACCATGCACTGAGGTGCTTCAGCACAGCAGGCAAATCCAGGAAAAACCAGACAAAGACTTTTACACTAAAGAAGAGGCCTCCGTTTTTTCTTTCCTTTTTCTTTCTTTCTTTCTTTCTTTTTTTTTTTTTTTTTTTTTTTTTTTTTTTTTTTTTTTTTAATGTTTTTCAGGCTACTTCTGATGAAAAATAATGTAAAAGACAACATTGCCCCTTTGCATCTTCATAGACCTGGGTAGACCCCTTGGTTCATGGGGCTCTGAGTTTTCTGAGAGCCAGATGTTCTAGGAAGTAGCTGGCTTTTTCTTTCTCTTTTTTTCTTTTGTCTGGGGCATGGGGAAAGGGACTTGGACTGTTGAGACAAATATGGGCCCTTCCCTTCCTCAAGGAAGATGGAGCTGCTGATGATCAACCCTCCTGGAAATCTCCACCTGACCTTCACTTTGGACTGGCAGGCTTTACTGACTACATGGAGCCACGGCTTTTTTCTTCATGCTCAGACATATGCTTAGCATCTTAATGAAAGAAAAATGAGGGGAACTTCAATTATGATTTTATTAAAGACAATTTCTATTACACCCTCCTTTATGACAAGTGACATAGATGTTAAAGTAAAAACTTTACCATGCCTTTTTTGTTTTTTGTTTTTTCCTTTTGGCCTAACATTGAGGCCTTAAACCTGAGGCTCCTGTGCCTGATGGAATTCTTGTAACATACACTTGTGTATCATATAAAGATACCACTCTTTCTCTTATGTATTCTTATTCTAGTTGTTTATTAAGAATGACAAGCACGTCTTTTCAGCACACTAGTGTATAATGTGTCTTTATTTGGGGAGGAGTTTTTCGGGCCAAGATCCGGCTGGGGGTGGGGGAGCCATGGGAGCCATGGGACCGGAAACAGCCTTCCAGAATAAGGGCCTGGGAATGCAATGAGCATGCGTTCCTTTTCCCAGCTAACCCCGCCCCCGTATAAGGCGTGGCTCCAGCGTGCACGCCCTACGTTCTGGCGTCAGCGACGCACACGGCGTAGTGACGAAATCGTGTGGTTTATATTGGCGCGGTCCAGACGGCAGAGGCCTCTGCGGCGCGGTCCTCGGAGGCACGCGTCCGTGTTCCTCGTTGGTCATGGCGGACTACCTAATTAGCGGTGGCACGTCTTACGTGCCAGACGACGGACTCACAGCTCAGCAGCTCTTCAACTGCGGGGATGGCCTCACCTACAAGTGCGGGTCTAGGGCACCCATCTGGGCGAGGCGAGGGGGCCGCACGCTGGCCGAGGAGGCCGGATGAGGGCTTCATCGAAGCTCTGGGAGCGGACATGGGGAACGGGTTCGGGGAATTAATTACCTATCTCTGGAGAATGATTTTGACAGATGTGGCGCCAGGGCTGGGGTGGAAAGCGTAGTTTCAACGGTACTTAGGACTGAGTCTTAAGACTCTGTTCTCTGGACATGTGGGATTGTCAGTGTGCAGGAGCACTGACAGCTAGCTCGTTGGCAGAAGAGCCCCTGCCCCTAATCCACCCAGTGCCATCTTGCCTGTGGCGCATGCCCTCAGTACAACTCCCTGCCCAGAGCTTTATGGGATATATGGAGTTGGAGTCTCTTGGGTTAGAAGCCTGAGAGTTCTGCCTAATTCCCTCCTACAGCGATTTTCTCATTCTTCCTGGGTATATCGACTTCACTGCAGACCAAGTGGTAAGTATAAGTGACTTGGTTTTTCTATTTTGTTTTTGAAATCGTCTTCCTATATGTCTGTGTGGCCCGTCTGGAACTAGTTATGTTGACGAGGCTGACCCCAAACTGCTCCGGCTTCTGACTAGAGTGCTGAGATTACAGTAGGCATGTGCCACCATGCCCATTCTAGGAATTACGTTGTGAACATCAAGGAGTTGGGAAGGTGTTGCTGCTTGGTTGCTTGCTTTTTTGGTGTTTTCGAGACAGGGTTTTTCTATCCTATGGAACTCTCTCTGTAGATCAGGTTGGCCTCAAACTCAGATCCACCTTCCTCTGCCTCCAGAGTGCTGGGATTAAAGGTGTGTGTCATCACACCCAGCTGATGCTGCTGTTTGTTAATGTGAGCTATAGGAGAATTAATTGGCTTTGGGAAGTAGGGTAGAGTCAATGGAATGATCTTTCTGGTGAGCATGCCGGTGATCCAGAGCCATTTTATGGACCCTGAGGAATAAGCTGTGTTTTTCCTTTAGTGGTCTTTTATCTCCTCAGGATTTGACCTCGGCTCTAACTAAGAAGATCACACTGAAGACCCCATTGGTTTCCTCACCTATGGACACTGTCACAGAGGCTGGAATGGCCATTGCAATGGCGGTGAGCCTAGAGGGTCGTGAGAGGACAGGGCAGGGTGCCATCTCTGCCAAGTACTGTGCCTCGCATCCATCACTCACTGACGTTTGTGTCCATCTTTTAGCTTACAGGAGGTATTGGTTTCATTCACCACAACTGTACACCTGAATTCCAGGCCAATGAAGTTCGGAAAGTGAAGGTCAGAAGGGCAAGGATCATGGCCAGAATCTCCTGGGAATTACACAGAGGTGGAGTGGGTGGAAATGGAGGGTTTGTTGTGCTAACTAAGGGTCCTTTCTTCCCACTGTCAGGGTTATTTCCTGAGGAGAAAGCCTTGTTTCTTAAGCTAGTGCACAGTGCTTCCAGCCCACCCATGTCCTTATTAGAGGGGTTGATTGGGTTCTGGGCGCTGCCATGCAGGACACCTAGACATGGACCTATGCATTAGACTAGGAGGTTACTGAGAATGATTCCAAAGATGCAATGATCTTCTCACCATCTCTTCCAGAAATATGAACAGGGATTCATCACTGATCCTGTGGTCCTTAGCCCCAAGGATCGTGTGCGGGATGTTTTTGAAGCCAAAGCCAGGCATGGCTTCTGTGGTATCCCCATCACAGATACAGGCCGAATGGGGAGTCGATTGGTGGGCATCATTTCTTCAAGGGACATTGATTTTCTCAAGGAGGAAGAGCATGACCGTTTCTTGGAGGAGGTAGGTGCCAATAATGTAGAACAACCAAGGTCTAACGACCCAGGCTGAAGAAGGGCAGTTTGTTTACGCTGTGAATTACTCATTGTCTGGCCACAAAAAAAAACACCCGCCATGTTTCAGACTTCATGATGTTCTGCATCCCTTGTACCTGTAGGGACTCTGATGACAAAATATCTGCTATGTGCTAGCATTCATGCTTTGTTTATTTATTTATTTTCTATGCTTAAAGTGGGGAGTAGTTCTTGACCTTTCTGGTTTGTGTGGGTTTTTTGTTTGTTTGTTTTTGTGTGTGTTTGTTTTTTGTGTTTGTTTGTTTGTTTCTCTATGAGAGGCTTCTCCCTATACTGTGTTCTTCCTTAAGTTTCACTAACTTGAATGGTATAATGGCTACTGGGTACCTGTCTGGAGGGGTGGTTGTTGTGCTTGGATAATGCTGCCTGTGGGGAAAGGAGGGTCCTGATCCGACTCTTCTGCCCTCATGACTCATCTAGATCATGACAAAGAGGGAGGATTTGGTGGTAGCCCCTGCAGGCATCACTCTGAAGGAGGCAAATGAAATTCTGCAGCGAAGTAAAAAGGGTAAGTCCTGAAGGCGGGAAGGAGCACAGAAACATTCAGGGTTCTGATTCACATCCTGGCGTGTCTTCAGGAAAGTTGCCTATTGTGAATGAAGATGATGAGCTGGTAGCCATCATTGCCCGGACAGACCTGAAGAAGAATCGTGATTACCCACTGGCCTCCAAAGATGCCAAAAAGCAGCTACTATGTGGGGCAGCCATTGGTACTCATGAGGATGACAAATATAGGCTGGACTTACTTGCCCTTGCTGGTGTGGATGTAGTGGTTTTGGTAAGCTACAGTGTAAGGCGGGTGGGATTGTAGGGGTGATTGCCAGCCATATCATGGTGTAGCTAGAATTTCTTCCTGTCCTAGGACTCTTCCCAGGGAAACTCCATTTTCCAAATCAATATGATCAAATACATCAAGGAGAAATACCCCAATCTCCAAGTCATCGGAGGCAATGGTAAGAAGGCAGCACTGGTGGGTAAGGATTTTCAAGCTCTCTCCCACAGAGACCCTCATTATCCTTTCCCTTTCCCTGTAGTGGTCACTGCTGCCCAAGCCAAGAACCTCATAGATGCAGGAGTGGATGCTCTGCGCGTTGGCATGGGGTGTGGTTCCATCTGCATTACCCAGGAAGGTAAATGTGCTTTCATTGGAGCCAATGGCTCTTAGGGGAACTTCGAGTTCTACAGGGGCAATTCTAGGGCCAAACAGGCCTCTTGGATGGGTGACATGGCTGGAAGCAAGACAAGTTCTTGTCACCCCTCACCTGCCACTACTTGCCTAGCCTGGCCTACTTGCTCCTGCTCTGTGCCCTCTCTAAACTCTGGTCTGTTTGTTTTATTTAGCGGCTCCCAAGATCCCACCAGACATAAAGTCCCACAGCCCCAAATGCCCTTCCACTGTCTCGGGCTGCTATAGTAAGTCCGGCCCGGCGCACTGGCCCTGCCCAGCTGCCCACTGCCCGGCTGCTTGGTTGACTGTAGCTGTAGCTCCCAGGGTTTGTGGTGCTGTTGGGTGGGCAGGGCAAACATGTACAGACCATGGTTTGGGGGCTGCTTGAGATCACAGCTCCTTCCTAGGGTGCTTAGAGCAGGACCTCCTTCCTGAGGTAGGCCCTGCTCTGCCCACATTCTCTGCAATAGGCATGGCTCAACAACCAATTCTTGAGCCTGGCAGGAAAACTGCTAACACCTCTCTTTTCTCCATTACTATACTATTGTAATATACTATTACTATACTATACTATTGCCCCAGTCTTGCCTGAGCTGCCCATTATACAGGAAGGGCTAGGCCTGACTTGGTGTCCCCGAATACTACTAACTGCACGGTTACTCTTTCCCCGTCTGATAGCAGCTGCGCGGGGCTTCCCGGCTGCTATAAACTGCATGTGCCTGAGACTGCACTGGGCCCTGCGCACATGCACTCAGCAGAGGCAAAGCCATGGCAGCTATTTGTACTATTCAAGGCAGATGAGCTAGCAGCCATCTCAGACAACTTTTCTTTCAGCTACTGACTTTTGATATAGGTGTCTTTCAGAGCTCCTGGGTCCCTGTAAGTGGCCCTTGTATCCCATCCCAATATCACACATCCGTCTTTCAACAGTGTTGGCCTGTGGGCGGCCCCAAGCAACAGCAGTGTACAAGGTTTCTGAGTATGCTCGGCGCTTTGGTGTTCCTGTTATTGCTGATGGGGGAATCCAAAATGTGGGTCATATTGCCAAAGCTTTGGCTCTTGGAGCTTCTACAGGTGAGGCCTAGTCACCTGAGGGCCAGGTGGTGCCCCTTTCCTAAACTGCTCAGATTCAGCCCTAGCTCATTCATCTATCCACAGTCATGATGGGCTCCCTCTTGGCTGCCACCACGGAGGCCCCTGGTGAGTACTTCTTCTCAGATGGGATCCGGCTAAAAAAGTACCGCGGTATGGGTTCTCTCGATGCCATGGACAAGCATCTCAGCAGCCAAAACCGATATTTCAGGTAGGACAGGCAAACAACTAAGTCCCCACCACCACCAAACCCTGCATCTGGTCTTGTCCCTGTGCTAACTTTGCCTGTTAATTTGCCTATTCCAACAGCGAAGCTGATAAAATCAAAGTGGCCCAAGGAGTTTCAGGGGCTGTGCAGGACAAAGGGTCTATCCATAAGTTCGTCCCTTACTTGATTGCTGGCATCCAGCATTCCTGTCAGGACATTGGTGCCAAGAGCTTAACTCAAGTCCGGTGAGCTCTTGGGTAGTGGCGCATGAGTAGAGGGTGGGGCAGGGCCAGCTACTACTGTCTGCATCTGTCTAATACCTGCTTTTCTGCAGAGCCATGATGTACTCTGGGGAACTGAAATTTGAGAAGAGGACATCCTCAGCTCAGGTGGAAGGTGGTGTCCACAGCCTTCATTCGTAAGTAGCCCCTGTTCTTGGGTGGGAGTTTCTGCCAGCCTCGGACCACCTCCTTCCTGCCCTGAACTCACAGATGGTCTCTGCCTACAGGTATGAGAAGCGGCTTTTCTGAAAGAAATCCAGTATATGCCTTGAATTTTTCAATAAAAGTTTTGGAAAAAAAAGACAACTGATCTTTGAGTTGAGTAGATGCATGTCACTAGCATGTCAAAAGCACAGTCTCCCTTCTTTGGGCTCTGGCAGAGTGCTGGGTTAGTTCTAGCTCTAAAGAAGTCAGGCCGGCCATTGGGGTCCCCGTGAATCTGCATATGAGCCCGTGAGAACACTGCCACCCAGCCTGTTAGAGGTCAGGAAATCCTACATTGTCTGGGTGAAGACAGTTAAGTCTTCCATAACTCCCGGCAAGCAGCCACATTGACTCAAGTGATCCTTGTATTCAGAAGTATGACATCATCCCGAGCAAGCATGACAAGTGTCGGAAGTGCCAACAGGCAGAGGGTTGGGAAAGCACTGGCAGTCCCTGCATTCATTCTGCAGAGTGCCCGTACCCCCTTGACTGTTCCTGCTGTTTCATTTTGCAGTCTCATGCAACGAAGTGAGCATAGTCTCTCCAGGGGGGGGGATGAGGGCAGCTCCTGTCACTCGACCTTCATGGCATAGGAAGTTGAAAGTGGCGCAAGCATTGGGCTGCAATGAAAACATCGGCATTAGCATGCTTAGTGGCGCTAAGTAGGCCTAGAGTAGGTAGGATTTTCCCGCCTGAAGACCTACCGTATCCTGCACCTCCACAGCGATGCCTCGCTGCCTCATGGCCTGTAGCACTTGGGAGTGAAGCCGCTCAGTCTTGTTTCCAGTGCCCACCACTACAATCTCTATAAGGAAGGGGGAGAATGTTAACCAAGTGTTGTTTGCAACCCAGTGTTAAGGGTCTGAGAAGGGTGGCTACTTAAGGACCCAGCTCTACACACACACCCGCCCCATACCTATTCTAGGCTCCAGCATCCAGAAAAGGGAGAAGCTCTCTTCCGTGATATCTCGATGGGATCCCACCTGTATGGGAGCAGAGGCGGTTCAACATGTCAAATCTACACCGTCTACCTACAGCGATACTAAACAGGCAACAAAATAAAGCTAAATTTGCCAGGAGGGAATGACTTGGCTCTCGACTTAAATTTCACTGGAGGGTAGGGCTCACATTCCACTGGACCACTGTCTGTGGGAGCAGCGCGCACGGGCCAAACACGCGGTTTCCGTTGATCATGAATCCTCTGCTATTGTAGCTGTCGATGTACACAGCCTGAGGGAACTCTTTTTGGAGCAGAGAGATACGCGTCCGGTGGTACGCCTCATCATCCGCAGGAGAGAGCCGGTGGCCCCGTCGCGGTGTTCTCCTGCGGAGAGCTAAAGTCAGGGACTTGTGGCTAGGACGTACAACTCTGCGAGAGGTCAGGGGCGAGGCAGGGGGCTCACCACAGCAGATCCACGCGCCGACAGAGACGGAGAGGTCGCGCTCGGTACAGGCAGCGAAACCCAAGAGCAGCGGCCATGGCTGCACCGCGCTTGGTAACCGGGTCGCAGGAGTGATGGGATCGCAACGTTGTCTGTATCAGCGCAGCCACAGCGCCCCTTGCGTCCCGGAGGGCACCGCGCAACTTGGCCGGCACAGTGGGCACTGACATCTGTCTCGGTAGACTCTGTCCCCCGTGCGGTTCTTGTGTCAGCACCTGTTGCCCACCCCGCCCCAGGCCTCCACCGACTGTCCCTGGGGGCTGGGGGGCAGACACCTGCTAGCTCGGGCGCCCTCCGGGTATTGTTTAGGCGCAGCTGCGGCCTGTTGCTCGCCGTCCCAGCCATTATTCAGGGCTCCCGGGGACCCGGGCGGGGCAGCTGCGCACCTGGTCCTGTTACGAACACCTGGCCAGGGTGTGGTGCCAGCCTCCAGGCCCCTAATCCCAGGCTTTGGAGAGTCGGGCTCCGTGGGCGGGGCGGGTGGCTAAGGTTTCCCGAGCTAGTCTCGAAATCGCCGCCCTGCCCAACCGTCACCCGCGCGACCGTTGGCGGCGGCGCGGCGTTCCGTGAGAGGCGTGGCCGGACGTGGATTGGCTTCCCGGGAGCGTGAGGGGGTGTGGCCAGATGGCTTCTCCTTAAAATGGCTCCAAGTCTGCGGACTGCTAGAGCCAGCGGAAGGGCACACCGTGGCAGTGCCGGAGTAGCTGTTCGGGTGGGACTGACTGGGCCGAACCGGACCCGACGTGAAGTAACAGCGCCGGGAGCATCACCCTGTCCTCGCGCGCTCTTCCTGCGCGTACCGAGTCTCCCCTTCCCCCTGTCTTGAGCCGAGTCTAGGGCCTACTGGCGCAAGAGTCGCTGACGGCGCGCGGCTTGGGCATCTCTGCGCACCGGTTCTGTCCTGGCCTCAGGGGAACTTTGTCGCGTTCTCTGTCCGCTGGACTAGATGGGTGGGATGCTGGGCACCACCGGAGCTTTGGCTATGGGGCTCTTGCAGGGCTGGTTGCATTGGGTTCTGGGGGAGCCTGAACTGCCGCTGCTATGTGGGCCGGTTTGGCCCCTGGCACTTCGTGAGCTGGCAGCGCCACCGGACAAAGAGCCCCGAGCCTTGGGGTATCCCAGAAGTGGACGCGTGGGTTTACTTCCTCTCGGGTCCCACGGGATCGCTTCCCTCTTGGCAGATTCCGAAGTCCGCCCGTCACCGTACCAGTGGCTCCTGCTGCTTGGGACTCACAGGGCTAATCCTGCCCTTCTGATCTAATCCGGATCGGGACCTGGTCCCAGGGGAGGCCCCCGCCTTCTCCTATTGTTCTGGGGCCCAGGTGAGCGCCTCATTCTCACTAGACTGGATTACACCACCTACTTGTCTGCCCACTGGAAAGGGATGGGCAGGTTCCGGTTTGGCCCCAGGGCGAGTGACCAGGGGCAGGAGCCCTCCTCCAACGGCTGGACAGCGGGCAACGGAATCCCAAAAGCAGCTGTTGTCTCCAGAGCATTCCAGCTGCGCTTGGATTTCGTTCCCTGCTCTCCTGCCTGAGCAGCGCCCTGGCCCAAATGAGGTGGTCTCTACCCTCAGAAACACTGCTGGGCATTCTAATCCCCATCTCTCAGGTGCACCCTCAGGCTGATGGTGGCAGGCAGAGACGACAAAAAGAGCTCAGGCTGATGGCCCTCTCTGGAATCCCCGGAGAACACTGACGAGGGAGGTCCCAGGCCCTCTGTGTAGGGCCGCAATGGCGGTGAGTCCCACAGGGCCGCCCAGCCCGCAGCTCGCTAAAGATAGCGCTTCACTTCCTGGGGAAAAACCACCCCAACCGTCTTCATGGAGGGAGAGAGTAACTTAGATCACCAACTTGCCGGTGGGCCCCAGCCTGGCTAGCAGCCATACCCACATCATGGAAAGTGCTTTGGAATGACACGATCACTCCCGTTGAGTGGGCACCCAAGAAGCCATCGGGAATGTCGTGTCCGCCCAGTGCTCTTTCTGCACCTCCCAAGCAGGGCCTCAGAGCCCTGGCCCAGAGAGAGGGGCCTTGCCAAGCTTTTCTTATTCCTAGATTTCACTCTTCTCCGGAGCAAAGTGCACTAGTTGGATTCATTCATTACTGGGGGAAATGGAGACTTAAGTTACATTGAAATGAAAGCTTCAGCCAGAGGAAGGCTTTCCAGTAGCGTGCTTGCCTGGTCTGAGATCTCTGATTAGTTGCGTCTTCTGGTGATCACATTTAATTGTCTCAAACTGGCCAATTATCTAAAGAGCAATCAAAGGTGCTGGTAACACCACGTTAAAGGAAAAACATTAAAGACTGGAAATTAGGATGATTAATTCCTCAGGTACCACGAGGTGCAATTCTATCAGATTGAACTTTTATTGGGAATAAAGACATTCTATAGCATAATCAAGGGCGGAAAGAACTCAAGGGTTCTGTTTTTGTTTTGTTTTTTTAAGTAGGCAGTAAATTGTCTTTAATGGAAGATGGGCGTGGTGATGCACAACTTTAATTCCAGCACTCAGGCAGAGGTAGTGGATCTGTGTGATTTCAAGCCCAGTCTGGGTCAACCAAGGCTGTTACACAGAGAAACCCTGTCTCGAAAACTCAAATCAGGTGTCATTAATGATACAGCCTTATTCCACTGCCAATTTGTCTAACATTTTAATCTTATTTAAATGGGGCAAAATAAATAAGACATCACATAAGCACAAAGATGTGAAACGGATGACAAAGTTTGATGACAACGTGCTTAGCCTGGTGACAAAGACCCACTACCACATCAATAATTCAGGGTGACGACGAAAAAAACCCTAGGCGCAAAAATGACCCGGAGGTTTTGGGTCTAGGGCTCACGAATGCAGGAAGAACTGTCGGGAGGGAACACAGGAAGGAAGCGGTGGGTTGAGTGTAAGCTCACTCAGCGTGCTCCAGCGCTCTGGTCCACTCAGAAGGGTCCACAGCCGGATCCCCGCCCCAGCCAGGCGGACCTCCCGGAAGCTCTACGGATAATTTGTTTCCTGTTCCGCTCACTCTTCCGGTCGTCATGGCGACAGGGCGCCTTGGAGTGGGGGAGACGCTGGAGGCCCTTAACGCCGCGGTGGGTCCTGGTAGCCCGGTGTGGTTCAAGGAAACGAACGCCCGGCACCTGCGTGGCCGAGACTTCTTGGCGCCGCGAAGCGCGTTACAGGCGCGCTTCAGGGACGGGCAGGTGGGTGCCAGCTGGACGGGGATCCCCAGCCAGTTTCAGGCCAACTACGGTCCATTTACACGCCCATCTGCCCGCAGGTGCCAGAATGTGTGTTCAGCGCGGTCACCTGCCTGCAGGGTCCGGGGGTGGCCCCTGTACTGCGCTGCGCGCCAACACCCGCGGGTTTATCGCTCCAACTACAGCGCCCCGCTGTCTTCGAGCGTGTACTCGGTGCCCTGGCCTCCTATGCCACTCCCGCCAAGCCTGCCTCGCCAGGCCCACGAGTTGTTCTGCACTGCCCCGCACTGCGCTGCAACCCGAGCACACTCCGCCTGAGCCAGCTGCGGGCTGTGCTCGTGGCCGATCACCTAACACGGACGCTACGAGCTCATGGGTAAGCGCGTGTTGCATTCTGCAGTGGCAAAAGACTGACCTTCGGGGACAGACACAAGATTAGGTGAGTCATGGCGATCTGGGCCTGGTGCGCAGACTGAGACGGCCACCCATGCTTTGCAGGGTATGTGTGTGCTTAGTGCCCTCGGTGCGGGATCCGCACATGGCAACTTTGCTTCAGAAACTTCGGGTGGACTGGCCCACTGCCTCGAAGAGCACCTCGACCGAAACCCTGAGGACCTGTGTGCTTGCAGAACTTAATTCTGTTTCTGAGGAGGAGACACTGCCCCCTGGCGTCCTAGGCCGAATGTGTCTGAAGAAACTAGTGGAACAGAGACGTGCAGCTGGCTATGACCCCAGCATAGACAACTGTTTGGGTAGGACAGAGGCCAAAATGGGTGGGGGTCTCTCTGCACTGCCGAACATCTAGCACCTCTGTTTTCTGTAGTGACTGAGGATGTGCTCTCTGTGCTGTCTGAGCTGCAGGAGGCTGTGCGCCATTGGCCAGAGGGCGGCTACCCAGGCCTGGTTAGTGGGCTCCAGTCTTCTTGGCCTCTGCCCAAACTGGTTTTCTGCATCTTTGCAGTAAATGTCCTGTCTCTCTTCAGGATGGGGACCCAGACTCTGGTGTAGATGGCTGCATGGTTGTACATGTGGTGAGCTGTGAGGAAGCATTCCAGCAACAAAAATTGGATCTGCTTTGGCAAAAGTTGGATGACCAGGCTCCTCACAAGCAGGTTGGTATCAAAGGTAATGCACCTTGAAGGTTTTCAGAAGGCCCTTGAAAATCCAAAGGGCCTGTTAGACTATGGGTTCAAACTGACCTTAGGGGCCTGTTCCACAGGTGCAGAGGTCCTATGGAGGTGGGCTGTGTCTTGAGGCACTAAGACTTGTGGGTACAGATTGAGAGAACTAAGAGAGAGAAGTAGCGGAGGTAGGATACTTGGAGGCTGGAGGGTAGTGCCAACCGGGCTGAGCCCTTGCCCTCTTTCGCAGAAGCACCTGGTCTGTGGCCCAGTGAAAGTAGCTGGTGTTCCCGGCACCCTGATGACTGCCCCTGAGTACTACAGGTGAGTGAGTTGGCAGGCAGATTAGCCGAAGCCAGGGGCAGCTGAGATGTGGGAAGGGCTTGCACTGGGGTCTTGCTCACTGGCTTTGTCTTCTAGGCTCAGGTACACACAGGTGTGTAAGGCCTCAGCACTGAAGCATGGCGGGGAGCTGGCACGAGGTAACTGGGGAACCCTGCTTGTGCCCTGAAGTACAAGCGGGTCATTTATACTTCTGCTCCTTGTCCCTTCTCTGCAGACGCTAGCCAACCTTGTATCTCTTAACCCCAGACCCAGCGTGGACTGAGAGCTTTGAAGTCCTCTCTGTAGCCACCATCAAATTTGAGATGCTAAGCACAGCTCCACAGAACCAGGTAAGCCTGGGTGCTTCACAGTACTAAGATGAGGAGGAAGGTTAGCGCCCATGCCCTCTACAGCTGGGTTCCCCTTCCTAGCTCCTCCTGGCCGACAGCAGCATCTCCACAAAGGGTACCAAGAGCGGCACCTTTGTCATGTACAACTGCGCCCGCCTTGCCACGCTCTTCGAGGGTTACAAGCATGGGGTGGAACAAGGTCTATATCCTGCTTTCCCGATTGTGAGCAGCCTGGATTTCTCTCTACTCCATGATGAGGTGAGTATTCCTCCTGAGAAACAGCCACAAGCAGAAGGCTGTGGTCCCCTAACACCCTTGTCTCCCACAGGGAGAATGGCTGCTGCTTTTCAACAGTGTCCTTCCCTTCCTGGACCTGCTGAGCCAGACTGTAAGCCTGGCCAGCACCCCAGGGCTCCACATCAGCGTCCGCACAGAAATGGTGAGGCACAGACTAGGCAGACGCTACACACTATTCTTTATTCTGGGTTGTGACACAAGAACAGAGACAACAGCTCAGTGATTCAACCTCTGTTTCTAGGTGTGCAAGTTCCTGGTGCAGCTCAGCATGGATTTCAGCTCATACTATAACCGCGTACACATTCTAGGGGTGAGCATACAGCAAAAGGGTGTCTGTGGGGAGTATGGGGGACGCAGGGTGAAGACAGGGAGGCAAGAGGATGAGCCCGGTCCCTTTCCTTTCAGGAACCTCGGCCACACCTCTTTGGTCAAATGTTTGCCCGCCTACAGCTTCTGAGGGCGGTACGCGAGGTGTTGCACACAGGCTTGGCTATGCTGGGCCTCCCTCCACTGAGCCATATCTAAGGAACCAATAGGTGGGAATGTTTACAAGTTCATCAACTGGGAAAAAAACAAAACCTCACAGATGTTGGACACTTAAAGCCAAAATAAATAATTTTACCCATTAAGGAGTGAGGCATATTCTTGGCCCGCCTATGCGGCACCCTACTGATGTGTTCCACGTCAATATGGTACTGCCCCATTCCTCAAAGCACACTGAGCATAAGCATAGACAGCAGATCCCTGCTCCACCGTCTACAGGCAGGCCCCATGCTCAGTTCTCCAGCCCCTTGTGATAGCTCAGTCATACCAATTGTAAACCTCAAGTCCCTGGCCCCCAAGAGCACAGCGGTGGCCAAACTCAGGACTCACAGGCCAGCAGTCCATGTCAGCAACATCTGGCACATGGTACACAGTGCTGTTCATGAAGGTGGGCTCACCGTGCCCCAGACGCCAGAAGGTCAGCCGTTGATCTATGGAGGCTGAGACCATGAGGGTGGGACTTAAGATCTTGAGGCCTGTCACATGGGCAGCATGTGCACAGGGGACAGAATATTCCTCTAGGACACACAGCTGGGGTACCAGCTCAGCCTCCCCATCAGCTTCTTCCAGCTCTGGCGTCTTCACAGCAAGGCTGAAGACGTGGAGGGACCCATCCTCACTGCCACTGGCCACAAGATGGTGGCCCTCGGGTGTAGGCAGGGTGTGCAGGCTGTTGACACCACAGCTATGGGCCTGGACGGTCAAGCAGGGGGTGCCCAGCTCTGGAGGAAGAGAGTGGCTATTAGGGTCCTGCTTCTTTCATCTTGTGTGAGAAGTGGTGACAGAAGTCAAGGTACTTACGGTAGGGAAGCCCAGGGTGTGCTGGAGACCCCAGGGTAGTGGAGCCGCGGTCCATTGCGGTGGTGAGATCCCAGAAGGCCAGGGAGCCATCTGTAGCTGCACTGCACAGGATCAGCCTCCTGTGCCAAGAGAGGGCAGGCAGATCAGTGACAGGGATGGGAAGACAACAGGAGCCCTTACCCAACCAGAGGACAGCCTCTCTCACCGCCGCTGGTTAGGTGCCTCATGCGTGAAGGAATGGACTTTGAGAACACACCGCTTATGGTGGAAAGTCTCAGCAAGCAGATGCAGAATTCGCCCAGAGTCCTGCAAGAGAAAAAGCCTGCGGGCGGGGAGGTATCTCAGAATCCGTCCTGGAGAGCTCGTACCCTTTGTCTCCTCATCCACTGGCCCCAAGTGCTTACCTCACCGCTCCATCACTACAGGCTGCAGCCACAAGGGGGCCATAGCCAGGCTTGTCGGAGTCAAACTCACAAATAGCCAGAGACATGTACCTGCAGGGAGAACACAGCTGTCAGGTGGAGCCTGCAAGCCAGGAGACACCTGCCGGTAGCCTCTACAATAATGATCCCATTCCATGTCCATGACAGGGAGTGCACATTACCTGGTCTCAGGGTCCACCTTGACCATCCGATGCCGGTTGCGCTGCCGGTCCCAGTACTCATCTAGCCGATGGGATGAAAGATGCATGACATGGCAGGCAAGGCGGCTTGGGGTGCTGGGGTCAGGAGTGACCATGAGGCTAAAGCAGTGCATCTCAGCTCGACCACCTGCAGATACTACATGAGCAGTGAGACCTGGTCCAGGATCCTGTGGGCCACCTGGTGTGCCAATGCCCCACACTGCCAGGGCACGCACAGAAGAGATATGGTTACAAACAGCTGTGAGTGCATGGGCTGAGCCCGTGGTTGTGGGAAGCGCTAGGACACAGACAGTAGTATCCTCGCTGCATGTAATCACGATGTCGATCAGACCAGGCCCCTCACTGCCAGGTTCCAGGTAGTCGGGAAGCTCCAAGCTGGGTACCTCAAATTCAGGGCCCAGGGTTACAGTGCCCACACGCTTTACACATGTGATTTCACGGCCATGCAGGCCCTCTCGGAGAATCACATTTGGCCGAGTGCAGCCACCTAGCGCCCGATAGAGCATGACATCACCATCCTTAAGGTAGGCAAAGGCCATGGCTGCCTCAGTGTCAGAAAAGGCCCAGGAGCGGTGTCCTCCACCACAGTTGACGATATGTAGCTTCTCATGGGACCGGGGGTTCCACACTACAAATTCATTGGCATGGAAACCCAAGATGACCATGTTTCCATCAGGTACCATGCGAAGCCCAGCTACCCAGTTCATGCCTCGACAGGACTTCTGCCTCAGGACTGGCTGGAGCTGGCCACCGTGCACAAAGAGCTGGTAGTAGGTGCCATCACGCCCTGTGCTGTATACATAGCCACCGTGACAGGTAACTGAGGTTACACCCTGTTTCCCATGCAGAGAACGAAGGGTAGATACTGGGCCTAACCCTGTTGCCACACTCTCAGACCCACCACTACCGCCGCCAGCTGCGGGTGCTTCAGCATCAGTAATAGCCTTGCTTCCAACCCCAGGGTTTTTGAACAGACTTGGTCTGGCAGGGAACAGCAGCACAGAGCCACGGCGGTCTCCACAGACCAGGAAGTCACCTGGGGGCAGGAAGGCACTACATGTGTGCCATCTCTGCTTGCTTGGGGGAAGCAGGTACCGGCAACGTTCCTTGACAAAGATGGCCTTGCCAGTGGGTGCAGCCGAGATCTCCAAGCAAGCTACTACCCCACCAGGGCCGGATGCCAACAACAGAAGTTCCTCATAGCCACGCAGGGCCCAACTCAGGCTGTGGACCTTCCCACTGAACAGGTTCTGGTCCACCGCAGCAGTGGGAGTGTTGATGGGGACAACCTTGACAAGGCCCTCCCCATTGGCTAAAGCACAGAGTCCAAAGCCTTCAGGGCCAGGGGCCGCTTCCAGCAGGGAGTAAGACTGAAAGCGCTTGTCCTCCAGCAGCTGCTCCCAGCATTTGACCTCAAGGTCATAGAGGTACAGGGCCCCTGCATCAGTCACTGCCAGTACCCTCCAGGAACCAGCCAGAGTCACAGCCTTGAGAGCACCTGGCCGGCTAGGAGACCTGAAGCACAGAGCTGAGACGCCCAAGCCTGGGTACCCACGACCTACCAGGTGCCAGAGCCGAATGCCTGAGTCGTCACCGCCAGTGATCACCCAGGCTTGCTTCTCATGAGCAGCTATGGCCCGGATGCCACGGCCCTGGTGACCCCGAAAGGCTTGAAGGATCTCTCCTTCATGGCTCCACACCAAGCAGACACAGTCCTCTCCTGCACTAATGAGATAATTCTCTAAGAGCTTCACCTGCCACACACGCGCACTATGTCCAAAGCAGTGACCAATATTCTGCACCCGACCCCCAGGCACCCGGAGGTCGCCCACCTTCCAGATGCGGACACTTCGATCTTCTGAAGCAGTTGCCAGCAGGCCCTTGCTTTCCAGGTATGACATGCTGAAGATGACACCGACGTGTCCACTAACCCGCCGGTCAGGTGCCACAGGTTTGTTGTCTGTTAAAGCAGTTGCTGGGTACCAGATCAGGAGCTGGTTGGAAACCGCACCTGCCACTATGGTCAGTTCCTTCCAAGTGTCTCCAATCAGGCAGGCTGAGGAGAGGGTGCACCTGTCTGTGCAGGGTACGTCCTGCAGCATGCACCCTATCACAGGGTCATACAGCACCACTGAGTTGTGGCCCAAGGCCAAGGCTACATTGCCTTCAAGCCAGCGTACATCCCAGATCCAGTCGGACATGTTCCACAGGCCAGAACGCCAGAGCTCTCGAAGATGGCTTTGACCCCAGCTAACCTTGACAACTCTGAGTCCCTTACTCCCAAATACAGCTATCATGGCTTCAGAGTCAAGGTCTCCTTTGGGCTCTGGTCGCACTCGGAAACCATGGATAAGAAAGTGGCCAAGCAGGTTCTGTACTCGCTTCACCATCCGGAGATGCCCACCAAAGTCCAAGTTGTACACCAGTAAGTCAGGCCCCTCACCTAGACAGAGGTAGAAAGCTACATCAGAACCACTCCCCTTATGCTATGGCCCATAGACAAGATGGGAGCACATCTTCTTAAATATACCTTAACATATCAGGACACAAAGTCCTACTAAGCCTAGGAGGTCCTTGCCTCAGCTTCAGCTAGACTCCTATTTCAGACTACATGCTTGTTTTGTGGTGAGGTTCTCCCACACAGCCCAGGTTGACTCTGAATTCAAAATCCTCTTGCCTAGGCCTCCCAACTGCTGGGATTATAGCACTGTGCCACTGTGCCTGGCTGCCATTCACCCTTTATGTGTACTCACTAGGAATCCTCCCAGGTGCTCACCCTCGTCAGATGGGAAAGCCTCCTCTGCTCTATTCCCCAAATTCTTAGCTTCATCTGTCTCTTCATGCGCCCTTCCTGACCCTCCCTCAGGGAAAAGGCTGGGTCAACCTTTCCACCCGTTAAGCCTACAACCAGCAACCCCCGTGCATATTCAGAGGCAACAGCAGGAGAGGGAGCAGAAGCCGCCCACGCCTCACAGGGGGCTGGCCTTGAGTTCTGGCCTCACCACTGGACAGCGGTGAACCCTTGGATGAGACTAAGGTTTAGGAGGCCTAAACAACACCAGACAGCAACAACCCTTGGAAGGCAGAGATAGGTACTGTTAGCAAGTCTCTACATGGGGCTGGAGAGACAGCTCAGCAGTTAAGAGCTCCACTCTTCCAGAGGACTCAGAGTTCAAGTCCCAGCACCTACATGGCGGCAGACAACTGGTCTGCAACTCCAAGATCTGACAGGGTTAAACCTAGACAGCATCTTCTGTGTTACCCACACTCCTAACTTACGATCAGAGACTTGTCCAGTGCCTCTCTCTACACAAACTCACTTCCTAGGCAATTCCTTACACCCATACATGGGTATAGAACCCACAGACCCAGATCAACAGACATTTCCAGAATTGGACTCCCAGCTTCCTTTTGACCATGCTGCAGCCATTTCCCACCATCTCATCCTCCCCAAGTCATTTAAACTCCTCATCCCAGTAAACATTACCAGCTACTGCCCATCCCCGGCCCAAACCCAAAGGGCTCAACATTACTCCTCTCTTAATACTCCATATCTTCTCTTTCTTCAGATTCTATACATTTCACTTCCAGAAGAGTTTGCTGGCCCCACCTCTAGAAAGTTTGCTCAGTGGAGCAACCCAATATTTGCTCTAAATTATGCCCTTGACACACGGACACACACACAAGCCTGTTGGGCTGACGATGGCTGACCATCATCATGGTGGCATAGTCGTCAGTTCGAGGGGACCTTAGAAAACCTACCACCACCTTATTAGGCCTTTACAACCAGACCCTGGGTCATGTGATTACTGACGCAGTTGGTCTAGAGCCCCATTTCAGGAGGGACCTCAGCCCTGGCCCCTCCCAATACTGCTCCACTCAGAGATGCCTCAGATGCAATTTTTGGCGACCATACATACCCTCTTCAGGCCCTTCATCATTGGGGGCGGAGCCTCACCTTCCCCAGAGGCCATACTTGTGCCACGCCCCCTGGAGCTGCCCATTCTTTATCTCCCCGCTACCCATTCTTTACCTCATCAGAGTTCATTTACGAGTGCGCAATGCCCTTCCCCCAATATGCAACGACTGCACCCCCCACCCCACCTTCCCGCGGCTCTAGCCACCCTTGCCACGCAGGCTACAATGTATGAAAAGCTGCCACGGCTTCGTTAAGACTTTGTTTCTCGAGCCCCGCCCTCCTCGGGCCGGTCCTGTGTTCCCGCCACCTCCGGACGGCCTCACCCCACGGCCAGTCCCCAGCCCACTGCCCATCCTCTTCCCTGGGGCGCCCAGGGGACCGGCTAGTTCTTCGCCCGCTAGCACGCCTGGAGCTGACCGAGCCTCACCCGCCAGCAGCCGGTCCCCAACGCACTCCAGGGCCGTGACCGGGAGGAGTATGAGCTCCGAGGTCGCCCGCGGCCAGACGAAGTCCCCGAGAGCGTCCATGACGTTCCTCGAGCTGCCGCAGCTGCCACGGCCAAGAAGAGGGCTGCGTTCTCGCGAGAACCAGCCGTCTGAACGCCGCGTTGCGGAGCTCCCGATCCCCTAGCTACAGGTAGCGGAGCCCCGGCGCCCGGCCGCGGACGTCCAATGACGACCCTCTGCCCCACGCGATCCCGCTCGCGATTGGCCCACCAAGGGAGCCGCCCCACCCCCTTCCGCGAAGCTGGCGGGCAGAGCGGCGGCGCTCCCCTCCCCCGTGCGGGCGCTTTGCTGGCCTGCGCCTGGCTCGAAGCCCTGTTGTTTTATTTGATGGAACAGCATGGGGGCTGTACACCAATAAATAACGTGAATGCAGGAACTGCGCCTTTCATCGCGGCTGCAGGCAAGGAGGGGCAGGGCACGATCGGCCAGAACTTTAGTCTGCAGTAGAACAGAGGCCCTGCAGGGTCTTTGACGTTGGGCAGCTGCTGACTTGCATCTGGGCCTCGCGTCAAAGCTCTACGCGGGCATCGCTGTAGGCCCTGTCCAAAGCCCACTCAGGCTGTGAGTCGGCGCCGCCTTCCCGTGCCAGACGAGCCATCTCCTGCTGGAACAAAGCTTGCCGCGCCCGGCTAGGGTCCACATTGATCCAGTTGTTAGCGATCCATTTGGTGCCACGGGTAACCAGGCAGCCTCCATGCAAGGAGTAGTCGTCCACTTCACCCACCCAACCTAGGGGAAGAAGGTGGCATGAGCAAAGGGACACATTGGAGGGAACCCTAGCTTGGACCCTCCTGAACTGTGCAAACACCTAATCCCCATGGAAGGACTTGGCTTCTCACCCATTAAGGCATGGTCAATATACTGGCCCTTTGCCCGGCTTCCTTGTTGCTTAGACTGTCCACAGCTCTTCCCAGCCTGGGTTGTGAGAGAATTTCCCTAGCCCCAGAGTAAAGAAGGGCTGTTGCATGAGGAAAATGGATGGAATACCCCAAGAGGCTGCACTGTGGCCTAAGGAAATCACTGGTTATGGCAGGAGGCCAGAACCAGCCCTCAGGTGGCAGAAGAGAGAGGTAAGTTCCCTCAGAGAAGCCTGGCCATACGCCCTCACCTTGCCCGTCAGGCAGGTAGTTGTACCAAAAGACCGCAGTTCCTTGTTGGGGCTTGACACGAAGGTTCCCCTTGTCACAGTGCCTTCGAGTGTCTCGGAGATCAACATCATCCTGAATTAGACTCTGTGGGCAACAGGGTGATGATGTTTTTCGGACTGCCTGCCATTGAACAGTCAGGCAGCCAAAGCTGGCTAAAGGGAAGGCAGGCATTCCCAGGTCTGGAAGGGTGTGTGTACACTTGCCCAAGGGCCTGCCAACCCACAAAAGTAATAGCCCGTTGGCCCTTACCATTTCATCATAGGTCCTGTTGTCTGCTACAGGGAAGACAGTCTCGCCCCCACCGGTGACGTTGTTCAAATAGAACAGCACGGTCATGTAGCTGTAAGGCAGGGGGAGGGGCTGCTGAGCTGCTGAGCTGCTGAGCGGATTCCCAACCGTGGGCATTCCCACTTGCGGGCAGGGCAGGGTGACTCAGGGGCCGCAGGGTCAGGCTAGGATGACCAAGACATGTCTAGCCCTTTAACTAGAGACACTCTTCTTGTGTGGCCGAGTCGACAGGTGTACTGAGGTAAGTTATGTGACCTTGACCAAAGACCTGGCTGGGAAAGGTAGCTTGTAGAAGCATGGATAACATGCTCTGGAAGGACTGAGCCAGAGCAGCCCCATGAAACCGCAACTTCGTGCAGGCAAGAGGGTACCACTGTGGAAGTAAGGCTCAGATCCCCAGCGGGGTCAAGACCCATGTTTATGAGGGCAAGTTTCAGGACCTGTGGGTATCTGGGACTGTTCGCATGTGACCGCACATTTCCTGCTACTCCATAAATAGTGAAGGAGAGACTTGGAGGCTGACCAGGGAGACCCAGTGTATTCTTGGCCCCTACCAGACTATTCCTGCACCCTCAAAGTACCCAGTCTGGGAACTGAAGCCAACCCCCAGGTGGGAGGTACTTGCCGACAGGAGGTCTCGAAGGGTACAGACTCATTGGCTACAAGCTTGGTATGGGAGCAGATGGTCTCTGGATATACAGGTCCGCTGTCCACATGGGCATGATAGTGGCCTCCCTCACCATATCGTACAACCTGCAGTGGCTCACTGAGCTCCACAATCTCTGGTGAAAGGCGAGTGAGGCGCAGCACCCTGATAGGCAGCAGGCATTCAGTCAAGATGGTTGGTCAGCTTAAGGAGCTGACCAAGGTGGTCCCTGGGCCAGCCACAAGCTTTACCCCTGCTCACCTCCCCTGGAAGTCTCATAAGCCGGACTAGACTTGCCTTCTAAGAACAGGGAGGCTGAGCTAGGAATGTAGTTTAATTGTAGCTTGCCTAGTGTGTACAAGACTTTGAGTTCCATCCCAGCACCACATAAACACATAAACTGGATGAGGTGTATGATGGTAACCCCAGTATTTAGGAGCTGGAAGCAGGAAGATCAGTAGTTCAAGGTGATCCTCGGCTAGATAGAAAGTGCAAGGTGAGTCTGGGACACACACGGACACACACACACACACACACACCACACACGCACGCACGCACACACACCACACACACACCACACACACACACCACACACTCACACACACCACACACATACACACACACTCACCACACACACACCACACACACACCACACACACACACACCACACACATACCACACACACACACTCACACACACCACACACACACAAACACACCACACACACACACTCACCACACAGACACACACCACACACACACACCACACACACTTACCACACACACACACTCACCACACACACACACCACACACACGCGCACACACACACCACACACACATTCACACACCACACACACACATACACTCACACACCACACACACACTCACACACCACACACACACACACCACACACACACACACACACCAAAGGGCCTGTGGTGGTAGTAGTGGCAGCAATGATCTCTTTACATCCCTGGTTGCCAGACATAGAGATATCCAATTAAAAGGGAAAATAAGATAGCTATTAAGTCAGAGTCTCAACTCTCCTCGCTGGAACAAATTCGTTCATTCAAAACCTCTGCTTTTAATTTTTGTTTCTTCCTGCTGTTTTTTAGATGTGGTCTGATATAGCCTAGTTTTGGAACTCTGGAGCCTAGAACAATCTTAACCTCCTGATACTCCTGCCTTCCTCTTCTAAATGCTGAGATTGTAGATATGCACAGCAATGCCTAGTTTTAAGCAGTGCTGTGATCAAATTTGACTTTTTGTGTGCTAGGCAAGCACTTGATCAACCACCTTAGCCTCATCTTTCTGGGCTTTTTGAGACAGTTTCACTGTGTGAGGCCCCAGCCCAGCCTATGAAGCCTGTCTGTTCAAGAATGGAGGCTTCTCTGAGCAGAAATAACTCCTTGTTTTCCTAAATAATGGAAAATAAACATTTGATATATTTGATTTATTTCTAATACTAGTTCTTTGCCCATGAGGGCTAATACACCTTCATTAGTCAACTGTTTCTCAGTACGTTGAATTCCTGTTCTAACAAATGGAATTGAATCCCAAATACTTCATCCCTCAGAGGGATGATCTGAGGTATTTACTCACCTCTGGCGGATGGCACGCATGACGTGATGAGCGCCCTCACCCTGGTGGAGCCAAGTGTGGTGGCTGTTCCTCACCAGCTCATTGGATTCCGCCTTATGGCTCCTCATGTACTTGTGGAAATCCCGAAGGTCCATGTTGGAAAACTCCTGTAGACTCAGCACGCCTGCACAGGGTATGCTCATCAGGACCTGCCAGGCCCATGGGGAGCGCGCACAGCGGCAGGCAGCACCTCCCTACCTACCCCAAAGGTAGCAGCAGCCCCTGGCCTCAGGCACTGGGGACCATGTGCACTTGTCCCCACCTGGACTCGGGTCAGATGAACCTGGTTTCTGTCACATCGGGCCCTGAGGGAAGACCCAGAGAAGTTTGTTTTCTGTTTAAGCCTTGTTTTGGTCCCGAAAAGGAAGAAGCCCAACCCATATTAGAGAACCAGCACAGGATCTCCATGAGACACCAGCTACATGACCAGGACGGCCCTAGGCTCTGCGGCCTGCCCTGTAGGAGTGTGAGAGTGATATTCCAACCTACAGAGGGCATGGAGATGGAGAGGACGGCCTGTGCTGGGTGTCCTCCAGGACCTTCCACACTGTGGTGTGGAAGCAGGATTAGTTCCCAGAGGTTCCTTCAAGTACCATCCTGGGTGGAACCCTGTTGGCCAGCCTTCCTGCTACAATACCAGTCATCCTAGCAAAGAACTCCTGACCCACCCCCGGATGAGAACAGACTCCTCTGTCCCTAACCCACTAAGCGGGTGTGGTACCTCATTCAGGGCTCACTCTGAGAGAGCTGGAGGCTTTGCTGTGATTCTGACAACTCAAGGGAGACAGCTTCCACCCTTTGCCCCAGACTCCACTAAAGGTGAGGGTGGTGAGCTTGACATCATATTAAAGGGACCTCCAGCCACAAGTCCCAGCTAAATTTTTCACCCTAGGTTCACTAGACTCTGCCTGATACAGCCAAAATGATCTCCAGGAGTCTGTCACATAGACTGCCACCAAGGAGGATGGCAGGGAGGTCTGGCTGTCCACGTGCTTCCCAGGGCTTAAGGCAAAGCTGGGCCCTCACCTCCCTGTATCTGCCCACTTTTTTTAAAAGCAGGGTGTGGAAAGCTTCCGGCTGCATGGGAAGGGCCCAAGCTTTCCAGCAAGCTTCTGGGAGGACACAGCTCACAAGCACAGAACTGTGGAGAGTGTGAGCTCACCATCACCATCAGGGTCTGCCTTGATCGCAGAGTACATCTCTTGAATGTTCTCTGGAGTCATCCACCGCCCATTTCCTAGGCGAGTCTGGGCTAGGACCTAAAGCATAAAAGGTTCCTTCAGTGAAGGGTTTCCAAAGGGATCACCAAAATAAGGTACAAGTCTTGCTGTAGAGCTAAAGGCTTCAATGACAGGGCATGAAGGATATCGTGCAGAAGTGAAGGGAGCAGAAGTCATTTGTGACATCTATGAAGGAAGTCAGAAAGGAGGTACACATGCCTGAGGGCCACATCCACTCCCAGACCTGCTGGCATTGTGGCCTTCAGGAAGCATGGTTGACTGCTTAGAGGCAGAATAAGAATAGGCCTGCGTCCCCTCAGATACTCCAGGTGAGGGTGGGAGAAGGCAAAGGCCTGGTTACCGAGCAGGACAGGAAGGAAGAGAGCATCCTGCTGGGACCTAACTACCGGGAACCTCAGGCAAAACAGGTTCAGTGTCTCATCCTGCCAGGGTTTTCCCTCAGAAGTGTGAGGCGTGGCAGGGGGACAGACTTGCAAGCTGATGGGTCCTTCAGAACTTCTCCATCATCATGAGATGTGGGAGAGAGGGACCCAGAACACAGAAGATACACTGCTAGAAAACAGTGGTAAACGCCTAGCCACAAAGGGATTTTCTGGTCACCCTCAGTCTCTAGGGCAGTAAGTGACTCTGGGACTGAGCATACCCAAGCAAGCCTGGGGTCGCATGTGACTGCAGCAGCGGCCAGGGTTAACCTACACCAGTGGCATGACAACCGGAAAGGTAATTCTTGGTGCCCTCTCCAGTATGTGTTCAGACCTGGGATCCTAACCTCTCGGAGCTGCAGGCGGCCATCATGGTTCTGGTCCAACAGCTGGAAAAGGTCCAGCTGGCTGAGCTGCATGGTGCCCATGGCCTCCTCATACTCTTCTGTGGGCAGGATCTGACTCCGCTGTAACCCTTTCATCTGTGCCAGGTGGATGATGAGCCGGCACTCCTCATCACTCAGGAAGCCCGGGATCTCTGCCAGAAGAGGGGGTGGGTAATGCTGATGACTCAGTTGAAGTACGAGGCACCAAGAACCCCACAAGATTTTTGAGTATTTTTTTGTCCCTTGGTGGCCATCAGAGCTAGGGGACTTTACATATCCATTTACATCCATCTAGAATTCTGATTTTGTTTTGTTTTTTGAGACTGGGTTTCTCTGTGTAACAGCACTAGCTGTCCTGGAACTTGCTCTGTAGACTAGGATGGCCTCGAACTCACAGAGATCCACCTGCCTCTGCCACCCGAGTGCTGGGATTAAAGGCATGTGCCACCACTGCCCAACTTGATGATTTTTTAAGAACTGTGTTCTTACTGTGTAGTCCTAGTTGGTCTGGAACTTGCTGTGTAGACCAAGCTGGCCTCAAACTCACAGAGATCTGCCTGCCTCTGCCTCCAGGGTGCTGGGATTAAGAGGTTGTGTGCCTTGCAGGACTGTAAACTAAGGTTGAGTTGTCCTGCAAGGATTTTGCAGTGTTTGAGATGAGGGGGGTCTCTTGTCCTGTCTCATTGGTAACAACATACATTTTCAAGGGGTGGGGGGGACTCATAGGAGTGAGCTGAGGCTAAGATAGAGAACATTCATTTACCTCAACATGAAACCTGAAAGCCACGGGGTGAATTGAATAGCAAAGGGTTGACCTTTTTTTTTTTTTTTTTTTTTCCCTTCTTCTTCTTCTTAAATATAAATGTACTGTAGGCTAGGGATGTCTCAATCTTTCAAGTCCTTCAGTCTTCCGGTGAGTGACATGGCCACAGAAGGAGGAAGCATTCCTGGTGTGCTGACTGATTTCAGTTTAGTTACTATTTTCTAGAGTGGCATCACAGCAGGTCCCATATTTTCCAAAAGTTCACTGTTTTCAGTGCATTCAGCCATGTTCCTGTTGCCCGGACATGAGTTCAGACAGCTTGTTGTTGTTGTTGCTATTGCTTCAGACAATGTCCCAGAGTCCAGGATGACCGCCAACTTGCTGTGTAGCCAAGGATGTCCTTGAACTCCTGATCCTTCAGCCTTAACCTCCTAAGTGTTAGGGTTACAGGTGTGCATCACCAGGCTTAATTTGGCTTCTTCCTATGTGTATATATACAAGGGGGAGTTGGTCTTTTTGAGACGTGGTCATACTATATAGCTCTCGATGACTTGGAACTTGCTATGTAGACCAGGATGATCTCAGACTCGTAGATGCCTGTCTCTGTCTCTCAAGTGCTGGGACTAAAAGTGTGTGCCACCAAACCTGGCTGGGTTTTTATTTTAAAGGTCAGAGACAGTGACTGCTTCTTGCTTTCAGTTTTCCTTTCAGCATTGTTCAATCCAACACGCTAGGGCAGTGGTTCTCAACCTTGCTAATGTTGTCCCTCATGTCTTGATGACCCCCAACCATAAAGTGATTGATTTTTGGTTTTGTTTTGAGACAGGGATTCTCTGTGTATCTTTGGAGCTCGTCATGGAACTCACTCTGCCGCCGGGCTTTGTAATTTTGCTACTGTTGTGAATAATAAGTATCTGATATTTCTAATGCTTGTAAAGGGTCATGGTCCACATGTTGAGAACCACTGCTTTAGGTGGCTCCAAGGCCTTTACCCTTGTTCTCCTGCACAAGTGCTTGTTATATGTATGCTAAAGGCTGAGTTACCCAATACTGGGAATTCATTCACTGCAATCACTTAGCATGCACCAGTCCTCTATGCTTCTAGTAAAGACTGTTAGCTGACAGGTGCCTGAAAGAGCTGGACCTGAGCCTCCTCTGTGGACTGCCCACAGCTCACGGCCCAGGTACTTCCAGGGCAGAAGTTTGCCTTCCACAGCCTTTCATTTTAAGGAAAGAATTCCTTGAGAGACAAGAAGTCAGCAAAGAACAGGGCTGTAGTGCTGTCTGCAGTCACTTGCCATTTCTCTCTGTCATAGTTCTAGCATGACGAAGCAGTCACAGGCAAGGAGGAAACTGGCCCGACAGCAAGGATGGCAGCCATTTTTACGGATGACCACAGCTGATGGCTCTGTCAAAGGTGCTCTAAGCATTGCTTACAGCTCTTGAGTTTCTTCACTCATGTTAGAAGCCAGGCCTGGTGATGACACATGCCTTTAATCCCAGCACTCCGTCAGCAGGGGCAGGTGGATGGCTGTGATTTCGAGGCCAGCCTGGCTTACACAGGGAGTTCCAGGACAGCCAGAGCTACACAGAGAGACCCTGTCTTGAAAAAACAAAACAACAGCAAAAAAAAAAAAAAAACCCTAACCTCAGCTCATCAATACCAGGGTGGGGGGATTGATAAGAGAGAGGGCTCTGGCTTCTGTTGACATTGGTGGTACTGGATAGTGACAAGGCACCTGGGGCCCAGCTATGACTCTGTTACATGTACATAGGACACCCGGAGATGGATCTGACCTACTTTCTGCATCATGCCATAGTAGCCAAGTTGTTCAGTAGCAGATTATCTGTCACCCCAACTTGTCCAAGGGATTCCATCCCAATGCTTGGTGAGTCTTCCTCTAATCCCTCTTTGCCCCTATGTGGCTTGACAAGAAGGGCATCGTCTCCTAGGTGGAGAGAGTGGGGAAATATGGTGCCCCCAGATAGGGCCTGCTCTGGAAGCCCAGCTCTTGACTCTTGGCCACCTGTTAGTATTGGGTGCTGAGGGGAAGAGGAAATGAAGGTTTGTTTTTGTCAGTGTTCCTAGCAGAGGTAAGCAAGTACCCTGGGGGAGCTGGCACAGGTCAGAGGTCACTGATGGGGTCTGCGCTCGGGGTCTGGGTTCTTGCTTGGTCCATAATCACAAACTATCAAAGTCTCTTGAAAATCAAAACAGGACAAGAGGCAGTCCATGTCAAAATGGAGACCAGGGCTCCTTTCCAGTGGAAACATGGCAGCTCTGTCTGCCCAAGGGATGCTGGCAAGAGATGAAGCCAAAGGTCACAAAGCTGATTGTTCTATCCCAGCCTAACTTCACCTCTGAACAGCATTTCCTCCGTTCCCTCTGGGCAGAGACAGCCCCTCCCAGAGCCAGAGCCTCTGGATTGTCAGTAGCAGTGAGAATAGATTCTTTCAGAGCTCAAAGGCAAGAATTCTGTGTGCTATGCCAGCTCCTGCCCTGGCCAGAGGCTGCAGTGTCTAAAGGGCTTTCGGGAAGGGCGGGGAGGAGCGGGGGTGGGGGGCTGGGGAGTGCCGCTTGCTACTTCTGGGTTGGAGGTCAAGATCCAGGGTGTAAGCCCCACCTCAGCCCTCTCTGGATGGGGGAAGATTAAGAAGCTTGTGGGGGAGGTGCACTGGAAGGCTGGAGTCTGAGTTAGCAGGAGGAGGCTGGAGATGAGGGGGGCAGGGCTGAGGTGTGAGACGTGGCCCAAGCAGAAAGCCAGGCTGCGGAGCTGTTGCTAGGTGACCAGAGTGTTGTTGCCCAGCAACCACAGAGTATTCCTTGCTACAAGGCAGTGCTAGGAGCTTGAGAGGCCCCACTTGATCACCCTGTTTGTCCCACACCACAGGGCCATTACCAGGTTGCAGCCAGTGACAGGTCTTGTAAGCCAGCTGTGTGCCCATCATAGCCTGCTGTGGTTTTTCCTGACCAATTATTTTGCATAGAGACGTCCCTGTGAGCTACAATGTGTGTCACAGCAGAGGTCAAGAGCTCCCACCCAGAGTACCCTAAGTCTCCACCATACTCAATGTCATGGTCAAACCACACCTTTCTAATCAATCTTCAAGAGACCAAGACTCAGGTTGGGGAGAGACCCCCTACAGCAGACAGCTGTCTAAGAAAGGGGGGGCTCAAAGGTAGGAGGTGGAGTTGTGCCCCACCCCATACACCTCTTGCAGCTTAGAAGCATAGGATCTGTGACTTGCAGGCTCATCCAAGGGGTCCTTGGACATGTGTACGTGTGTATCAGTGACTTTGGAGAGTTCTGATGTGTGGCACCCTCTATGTGTTATATGTGTGAGTGTGAGGGGAAGAGTGTGTGTTTGTGTAATAGTGGATGTGTGTGAATATGGAGGTCAGAGCACAGAGGACAAATTCAGGCATTTGTCCTTGCCTTCTGCCTTGTCTGAGATAGACCTCTTTTTTAGTTGTTTGTTATTGCATATACAATAGGCTAGGGGTCCTACAGGCTTCCAGAATTCTCCTGTCTCCATCCCTTATCTTGTCAGAGGAAGACTGGAATTACAGGTGTGTCCTAGTGGGCCTCACTTTTACATGGGTTCTGTGACTTTGTGTAGCCCCCTTTACACCTTATACACATGGGAGCGAACAATGACACATGTACGAGAGACACCCAGATTCTATGCCTGATTAGAATAAAAAGTACTTTTCTTTACAATCATGCTAGAACATCAATAGAAACAAACAATAACAAGCTGGGACTGGTGGTGGATTCCTGCCAAGCCAGCACTTGAAATATAGAGGCAGGAGATCAGGAGTTCAAAGTCACTCTTGGCTACATAAAGAGTTTCTGGGCTTTGTGAGATCCCAAAAAAACAAAATTTCTCTACGGAGAATGCATCCCTAGGAGCCTGATTCCCAGGGCAGAGCATCAGACAGGAAGACCTTAATTAGCTAAGTGGAGGGGATGGGGTGACAACCCTAGAGATCAACCTAGCTTGTCAATTAGTTCCATGATCTATTCTGCAGTGAGGGCAGAATGGTACAGCATACAACTCTGGCCGAGGGCACTGTGACTCAAGATTGGAATTGTTGAGTTTGAGTTCTCTGCCCTCACCGGAGTTGATGCTAACAGTGTGACATTGCTGAACCTGGATGTCACATGAGTATGCAAGCTCCTTCCATATAAAGAAAGTGTTAGCTGAAGGTGTAGGGGGCCACCTGTTGGTAACTACAGTTAATGCCTAGAGCTGAGGCCTTCAAACTCTGCAGCTAGCTGTTTGTCTATGAGTAACACCATCACCAGTGCCAAGAATAGGAGCTAGAAATTCTGCAATGTGCTGGGCAGTGATGGCACACACCTTTAACCCCAGCACTAGGGAGACAGAGGCAGGTGAATCTGTGAATTCCAGGACAGGCTCCAAAGCTACAAAGAGAAACCCTGTCTCAAAAAAACAAAACATAACAAAACAAACAAAAAAGAACTTTTGTTTATTTGTTTGCTTGTTTTGAGACAGTAAGATCCTGTCTGGAACAGCTCAGGCTGGCCTGGAACTCACAGAGATCCACCTGTCTCTGCCTCCAAAGTTCTGGGGTTAAAGGGTTGCAAACCAAGCGCAGCTTAGAGGACCGGAGTTCAGCTCTCCAGCACCCAAGTTAAAGTCTAAGCAGGCATGACCCTAGTTGCCCAGTGGCCAGCCAGTCTAGCCTCATCAGTGAGTCACAAGTTTAGTGACATGGTACTTGCCACAGAAGCCTGATGGCCTGAGTTCAATACGTGGGACCCAGGTTAGCAGGAGAGAGATGACTCCTGAAAGCTGTCTTCAGATCTCCTCAGGTGTGTTCTGGCATACATGCCTGCATTCATATTCATACACACATATAACAATAATAAATACAAATTGACATGTAGTGTTGACTTCTGTATACATGTGTGCATGTACACATATGCACATGTATAAACATGCCAGATGTGGGGGGTCATGCCTGAAATCCCAGCTTTTGGAAGGGAAAAGCAAGAAGAAGGATTATCATGAGTTCACAGTGAGTTCTGGAGCAGCCTGAGCTACAGTGTGAGAGTCTATCCTAAAATCAAAAACAAAACAAACCCCAGGTCTGGAAAGATGGCTCAGAGGTTAAGGTCCTGAGTTTAATTCCCAGCACCCACATGGATGCTCATGACCATCCATAGTCCATTCTGGAAACCTCTTCTGTCATCAAGACACATATGCAGATAAAGCACTCGTATACATAAGATAAAATGAAATCTTTGAAGAGAACAGAAATATCCCCAAGGAGGTGACAGTGAGTTAGAATGTAGAGTGGTTCTTTATCAGAAGGGCATGGTGGCACACACTTTTAATCCGGGAACTCTGGAGGCAGACGCATGAGGCCAGTCTGGGCTATGTAACAAGCTCTGGGACAGTCAGGCTTCCCCTGTCTCAAAACAATGTCAAAGGTTCAGTTTATTTCTCAACTCACAGAGCAGCTGACCCCCAATGTTCCAGATCTTTTGGGAACACTGACTCCAGCCATGTCTACTTTTCTAATGCTTAGACAGGCCTTTAGTCACCTTGGTCTCACTTGCCAACTGTCTCTAGGACCAAAGACAGGAAAAGGAAATGCTCCCTAAAGAGAGAGACAGGACATGAACATACAGGCCTGTTACTCCTGAACTTGGGAGAAAGAGGCAGGAGGGATCCTGAGTTTGGGGCCAATCTGGGCTACATAGTAAGTTCTAAGTACATGCCTGGGCTACATATCATATCAGGAGTAGATATAAATAAGTAAAATAAAAGCAGGATGAAAAGCAATTGAAGGTTGCGTGGATGTTTCTCTGTACTGACAGATTTTCCTCCCAGGAGATGGAGGCAGCTCCTCCCATTTCACATCCCTTGGGCATCTGGTATATCACAGGTTGGGAGCTAAGAGCAGGGGACGGAGGGGACAGGGTTCACAGCAGGCCCACCCTCCTCAGCTCTGTCTACCTCTTGAGGATAACAGTGGACATCAGACCAATGGGCAGGCAAGAACAGGAGCCTGGCACACACATTGCTCCTTGCTGGGATGAGACCTTCTTTGGGTCATCTAACACCATAACATTCTGGAAGCCAAGGCATAGACTCAAATTCAGGATCCTCCTGCCTCTTCCTCCCAAGTTCAGGAGTTAGCACATCGCCAAGTCCATTAACTGTATCGTTTGACAGTTTCAGCAGAAACAGGGACCTGAGCCATTTACTGCCCTCACATCTCTTCTATTTCTTGTAGTTTACTCTTGGGGATTTCAAATCTGGGTCTTTAATTATCTTCGTAGGACAAGCACCAAATGAAGAGGACTCTAGCCTTGTGGCTCACCTATGCAAACAGACTTGAATTAGATATATTCAGACTGGGTGGCTAATGAAAGGAAACCCAACTGTGTGTTCCCAGGCCTGGATCTCCCTTCCCTGACAACCCACAGACTGCCTCTTACCTGTCCTGCATGTCTCTGCTCAATTATTTCTCCACAGAGGCCCATTTGTTATTACCCTGCTAAGAGTTTCAGCCCCGGGAAAATTCAATTCTGCCTGTGCTGTACTCACTTAACCTGATGCACCTGCCTCTCACCCAGTTCATTGTTTTCCCTGCTCCCTCCTCATTTGAATGTCAGTTTCAGAAAAAGCTTTTTTTAACTCAGGAGGCAGAGGCAGGAGGATCTCTGTGAGTTCAAGGCCAGCCTGGTCTACAGAGTGAGTTCCAGGACAAGCTCCAAAGCAATACAGAGAAACCCTGTCTTGAAAAACAAAAAGCAAAACAAAAAAATAAACAACAATAACAATTAAAAAAGCTGTTTCTAATGTCTGCATTATGACCTTACATGGTCTTCAGTGTTATTCAGCAGTAATATTGATAATAACAGCTCACACCCTGAACAGCCCTTCTCACAATGGCATACATGTGACATTATTATTTATAGCTATCTGTAACACCAGGCAGAGCCTTCTTGGCTCTATGATGAAGAACACGTAAGATAAGATTACATTTATTTATTTGTGTGAATGGGTTCTTCCATTTCACCATGTGGGTCCCAGGGACTGAATTTAGATTGTCAGGCTGGGTGGCAAGCACCTTTATCTGCTGAGCCATCATTTCCCCACACATCCCCAGCCCAGAGATCTGTTTGTTTGTTTGTTTGTTTTTGCTTTTTTGAGACAGGGTTTCTCTGTGTAGCCCTGGCTGTCCTGGCACTAGCTCTGTAGACCAGGCTGGCTTCAAACTCAGAGATCCACCTGCCTCTGCCTCCTGGGTGCTGGTATGAAAGGTGTCCACTGTCCAGCTAGGGCTGCACAAATTTAACCTTGGCAAGGTCCATGCCTGTGCTGCCCTCACCTTGTTGACATTCGTAGTCTTTGGAGGCCTGTGGGGTCTTCACAGCTTTGTGTCACATTAAATGAGATTACATTCAAAGCCTATCATTTCCTAAGAGCTCTGAAAGCAGGAGCTGTGTGTGATACTGCTAAACAGGGTCACCCTGAAGGGCTCTGCCCATGAAGGATGAAAGACAAGAATCCTAAGAATCTCAAATATTGGAAGCAAGAAGCTGGGACTGGCTTGCGGGGGAAGGGGTGGATTGAGGGTATCCGTTTACTCCACTCTAGACAGCATGATTCTCAACAGACCACAGGATCAGCTTTAAGAATGATTTCCCCCTCCCCTTTCCCCAGAGGCCCTCAGATCGGCTGGCACCTGCTTATCAGTCTCCCACTCTGCTCGATTCTGGAATGTGACAGATTAGTAGCATAGACTATCCAAAGATAATTTCAATAAACTGGTTGGACACTTGTCTCAGGGTCCCAGCCTATGACAGAAGAATCTGCTGCGGGGGTGGTGCTGGAAGGGGAGTGTGGAAAAGGCACCTCTGTCCTTCTGTTACAGAGAAGGGAGCTATATTCCAGTGACCCTCGGAATGCAAAAATCACTTCCACAAAGCAGCCGTGTTCAAAATGTTCAAAATATAAAACACATGGTCAAAAGAAGCCTCAGGGTGGACACTGCAGCCCCTGGGCCTTTCCAGAAGTGTTCTGCAGACTTACCAAAGAGCAATGGCTTGAGGCTGAGGGTTCGAATGAAGTGATCCCTGCCTGCGACCAGCTGGACTTTCCGCTCATACCCCACCTAAAGGAAAAGTATAGAGGACAGCTGGTGTGCCAGGCCGCACTGCTCAAGAAAAGTCCCGTGTCAGGGCGCCACAGTGGGAAAGTAAGTAGGCACGCGCGTGACCCGCACACAGTGATGCATGGAGTGGCGTGGGGGCCCACAGCTGAGCCACGGGTCCGGCCCAGCTTGGCTAGGCAATGCCCTGAGCGCAGCGCAGCACGGGGAGAAGGTGTTCTTACCTTGATGCCCTCCAGCCGAGTGAGGGGACCCAAGGTTGGCACTGACTTGGGGCTCTGCTCGCGGCGCTGAGGTCTGGGGTCTGTGCTCTCATCCCCGTTGCTGTAGTGGACGAAGAGCAGCAGTGCCAGTACATTGCCCAGGTACAGGTGCACGAACACCATCAGCACCAAGAAGTAGGCACGGGAACAGATGCCCCGTGGCTTGCACAGTGGCCGCACCGGTGCCTCCTCACCATCGCCTGGTCGGGTCCCTGGCACGGAGGGGCGATGCTCTGGCGGCAGCGGCCACTGCGGGTTTGAGGCCTCCTCCTCGGCCGTCTCAGCCTCAGGCCGCTGCACGGTTGCCGCCGCCGTCACTGCCGCCGCCATGGCGCCCGGGTCGCGCGCGCGCCCAGGGGAGGGGCCGCGGGGGTGCTCGCGCTGCGCAGTCTCCGGGACCAGGACGATGGAGTCAGTGCTCACCACGGTCACTAGGAGACCGAGCTTCGGGATGCTGCGCCTGCACACAGCCGAACCTGTGGGTCCACTCTGAGACCCATAGCTGGCACCTCGCTAGCACAGGAATTGCCACTTTTGGAGCTGTATACTCCCCATCGCCGAAGGCCACCCCAGAAATGTGGCGGCACACCAGGGGGTGCACTGTTAGGACAGACCCCATTATTATTATTAGTTTCTTGGTTACAGAGAAGTATAGCGGGCATTTTCTCGCTCCTGGGAGAGGGGGTTTGGGAAGTGACTGCAAGGGGAGGCTGCACTTGAGTTAGTGTTCTGCTGCTGCTGAGGCAATGACTGCACACCAGATGATCAGTTTACAGAGCATGAACTTGTTTTGCGGAGAACAGGGGTACTGGAGCTGGGGTTACAGGTGCTTGTGAGTAGCCACGTGGGTGCTGGGAACCGATCTTGGGTCCTCTCCAAGTACTTTACTCTTAACCAGTCATCTCTCCAGCTTCCGGGGTTGTCTTCTTTTTCCTTTATTCCTTTCCCTACCCCCACCCCTACATTCCTTTTTTCCAGAACAAGACAGAGTCGCATATAGCTCAGGCGGGCATATCAAACTCGCAAGGAGCTGAGGATGTCCTGGTTCTCCTGCCTCACCAGATCCCTTCCTTGTAGTAGATACTTTTGAAGCCCTTCTGAGATCGGGGGACCAAGGGAGTCGTGCAAGTTGTGCTTTAGGAAGAAGGTGCCCAGTGTGCAGCATTGCACAGCGGTTGAGACCCAGAGGAGGACTCTCCCTGGAGGAGTCCTGGAACCAAGAAGGTCCTCCCCACCCCCAGTAGCCCTCAGAATGAAGCAGGTGCTCAGGTTGTATGAACACTTGCCTCAAAGCTACTGGGTGGGAAGACGGAGGAAGAACAGGCTTTTCCCTCCTCAGGACACCCTGGCCTCAAGAAAATGAAACTCAGATTATAAGAGCATCTGCCAAGTGCCAAAGGCATTTCTGAACTCTGCTTTTCTAAGGCTGGGTTACCCTCAGGAAATGTACACACCCTAGGGCTGCTGATTCCCATTCCCCAATGTAACAAAGAACTATATTATTATTATTATTATTATTTTGGTTTTTCGAGATAGTGTTTCTCTGTGGCTTTACTGGCTGTCCTGGAACTAGCTCTTGTAGACCAGGCTGGTCTTGAACGTACAGAGATCCACCTGCCTCTGCCTCCCAAGTGCTGGGATTAAAGGCATGTGCCACCAAAGCCCAGCTCAAAGAATGGTATTATTAAAGCTACACTTTCTGGTCCTTCCAACATTCTACAATGGCAGGCTTCATCAGTGCCCTAAATGATAGCGCTATTAACTAGTCTAGTCAACCTAATCTTCCTACTCACAGGAGGATGGATTCTGGGCTTTTCTGGGTCAGAAGGGAACAGGCAATCATGAGAAAGATGATGATCTAGCCAAGGTATGTTGTTCTGGGACACTACAGGATGTATTAAGGCTTTGTTAGCAGCAGGGGAATCAGCCTCTGCTGAACTGAACTCCAAGCAGACTTGCAGAAGGCTCGTCTCCTTTTTTTTGAAACAGGTTCTCTCTGTAGCTTTGGAGACTGTCCTGGAACTGGCTCTGTAGACCAGGCTGGCCTGGAACTCAGATAGCCACCTGCCTCTGTACCTCGCCAAGTGCTAGAACTAAAGGCATGTGTCACCACCGCCCAGCACGAAGCCCTTTTATGGACTGTTAAACAAAAGGAATTTCAGCACTGGGTGGTGGTGCACACCATTAATCCCAGCACTCCAGAGGGGATCTCAGTGAGTTGGAGACCAGGCAGCCTGGTCTACAGAGCACAGCCAGGGCTATATAGAGAAACAGCCCTCCCTGAAAAGTTCCAGGTTTCCCCACCGTAGTTGTCTTCCAATTACTCTAAGGCCCAAAACTCGTTAACTTAAAAAAAAAAATCTTTATTTTTACTTTATGTACATTGGTATTTTGTCTGCACGTACTTCTGTGTGAAGGTGTCAGATTTTTTGGGATTACAGACAGTTGTGATCCCCCACTTCCCCCATGGTGCAAATAAACCTGGCTCCTTGGCAAGAGCAGTCAGTGCTCTTAACCACTGAGCCATCTCTCCAGACCCCTAGGAAACCCATTTTCAACTGCTGATAAATACCAACCAAAAGAATGGTCAGTTTAGCATGGAATTTTTTTTAAATCTCCCCTTTGAGACAGAGTCTCAGTATGTAACAGCCCGGGATAGCCTTGAATTAACTAATGATCTTCCTGTCTCAGAGACTCAGGCTCTGGAATTACAGGTGTGTGTGTGTGTGCTACAACACTGTGGAGTTTTACCAATGATACTGTGACTTTCAGACAGGACTCCATCCTTCTAGCCTTTAAACAATTTCTAGGAAAATTTGTGTGTTCTGCCTGCATACATTTATGTGCAATATATGAAAGCCTTTGGTGACCAGAAAAGGGTGGTAGATCCCCTGGAACTGGAGTTATAGACAGCTGTGAGCTGCCATGTGAGTGCTGGGAATTGAACCTGGGTCCTCTGTAAGAGAAGCGAGTGCTCTTAACCACTGAGCCATCTCTCCAGCCTGACATTTTTTTAAACATTTAAATGTATATGTTTGTGCTATGGAAGAGTATGGAGGTCAGAAACCTGTAGTTTTCTCCTTTTGCCACTTACCCACTGAACCACCTCTCCAGGGACCGCACATGTCCAGGGAGTGTGTGTGTGTGTGTGTGTCTCACACCTGGATGTGTTGTTTTTCTGAGATAGGGTTTCTCTGTGTACCAGCTCTGGCTGTCCTGGAATTTACTTTGCAGACCAGGGTGGCCTCAAACTCAAGGAAATCTGCCAGTCTCTGCTTCCCAAGTGCTGGGATTAAAGGCCGGTGCCACCACCGCTGGGCTGGGCCCTTGTGTAAAGATCACCACAGGGTGAATGCCATGGCACTGTGATGTCACTGATTTTCAAGGACTGCCCTGTGTTTCACTGGTCCTGGGTAAACCAGTAAGCATCTTCACTAGTGGGGATGGAGAGTTGGCTCAGTTGTTAAGAGCACTGCAGAGGGCCTGGGTTTGATTCCCAGCCCCGCATGCCTCCTCAGGCATCAGGCATGTACATATATTATACAGACAGTATAACACACACACCCCACTCTACACACACATAAAAAAAGAAACCACTAGTGACAATTCCCTTTGTGTCTTGTGAACTAAAGGCACTTCTTGAGTAGACTTCATGTCCTTTGATACCCCACTGTGTACCCAGTGCAGAGCACAAGGGCAGCATACTTGGAGGCTGAGACAGCAGTGTGGCGTGCAGCCCACCAGATGGGTGTCCATCCTATCCTGCAGTCCCTCTCACTAATGCTGCTTAGATGCCTGACAACACATCAGGACACACCCATTTCCAGTCTTTGTCCCCAGTTTTGTCCTCTGTTATGTATATGGTCTGCATCCTCTTTGGAGGGACCCAGGGGTCTTTAATGGCAGGGCTTAGGGTGTTCCTACCTCAATCCCAGAATGTCTGTAGGTAATGGCTCAACCTATCTCCAAGGAGAGAACTAACACTTCCAAGTTACCTCTTTTCCTTATGCAAGGAGCACCCAAAGCTGACTTCCCACAGAAGAAAAGCAGCGCTAAATCTGGTTGGGCCTCCACAGCCCCTGGAGGAGGGGGAAGAACAAAAGGCAGCTACTTTGAAGGAAGACTCCACACATTTCTATAATCAGAAACTTAGTTTATTTTGAATAAACCTCTCAACTTTGAGCAGATGACATCGCCTCAACTTTTCTTTGAAGAAAAACAAGGATCTGGTCAGTTCATGAAAACACATCTTTCTCTACCCCTTGCAGGGAAAAACACCAAACCAAACCAAAAACCAAAACAACCCTCCCCCAAACAAAACAAAAAACCCACCTCTGCCTGACCTTTAAGATGTCCCTGATAATGTTAACAAGGACGGCTTCCACAGGTGAAGCACCACCAGCTCTGGCTGACAGAGCTCCCTGCAGTGCCAAGGGTCAGGATCATAGCCTATGAGGAGGATCATGGCAGCTGTGCAGTTCAGAATGTGCCCACTGGGGTGTAGTGTGCAAAGCGGCAACTCTGGCCACTGAAAGGACTTGATGGAGAAGTCTGTGCATCGACACAGAATTCACAAGCCACCCCTGGGCGCTGCAGCAGGAACATTCCTTGTTTACAGTTAGCTCCCACTTTTATTTTGGGTTCAATCACTATATACCAAACTACTTCTCCCAATCCACCCCACCATCTCTCATTTGCCGGGGACAACATGAAGAGACAAAACCTGAGGAGGTGAAAGAATGTGCAGCTGGCCAAGTACCCCAACAGTCACAGCTGTCACCTGTCTTGAAAGAACAACTCAATTTTACAGCTTTACATGGTACCTAGGTAATTGCTGACTGGAGGTGAAATGTATGAATATCAAAGAGTCTGCATTGTAATATTCACAGATTTCTCTACAGGCTCTCCTAGTTCAAGGAGGCCCTGTCAAGTATAGACAGCTCTGCCAGTCTCAGAGGGGAGGCACTGAACAAAGCCACAGAAACCCAGAGATCACAGATCTAACTTTTCAAAGGCCCACAGGACCAGGTTCAAGATAGGAAGGACAGCAGGCAAGCCACCTGCTCCCTTGCACTTGACTGTGCAAAGACTGGTCCTTTCCTCTGGCCAGCCCCATCTAGTACAGGAACTGGGACCACAAACCAGGGATTCTCCTGGCCTTAGACTCCCAGACCTTAGAGATGGGGTCCTCTGACTGCTGCAATTAGGCAAAGGGGAACACACCCCACCCCAGAGCAGCTCTGGCCACACTCCAGGTTAACATAAAAATAACTTGTGCAAACCTAGCTGTTGAGCCACAAGGCCCATGCCCCTGGAAGGGCCATGCTGAACTCTGACCTTGATGTTCACAAGAACGCAGTAAGGCAGTGTCAGACATGGCCACATGTGACCCTGATCAGAGTACACCGCTTGAATACTGGGTCAAAAGGAACAACCAAAGAAAAGGAAACTTATTTGGGGGAACAATT